TGTTTTTTATTAAATCTAGTTAGGTAAATTATTTAGGTAAGCAGTGTTAATTAAAGATTTAGTTTATGCGCTAGTTCTTTATTAATATAACCTATGCTGTTTGCTTCTAAGTTAATAAAAGCTTATATTAAAGCTAATATAGTTTTTTATTATAAATATATAGAAATATTAACTTAGTACTTCTAGTTGTTAGTAGAGGACTTAGCTTATAGGTTAGTAGAGATCTAGTGTTAAATTAGTCCTAGGGGGCAACTTAGCCCTAGAACAAGCCTTTTTGCAGGCTTCTACTGCTATAGCTGCAGCTATGTTAAAAGTGGCAAGAGAGATTAAAGCTTAAATACAAGTTAAAGCCTTTACAGAAATAAGATTAAAATAGTAAGAATTTTTAATAAGTACTAGCAGCACTACTTGCGCAGACTTAAAGAAGGGGAATAGAGCAGTTTTAAAAGATATAACTATGCTTACTGCACTTAAAACATTAACCTTTTTTTTTATAATTTTTACGCTTTTTAGAACTAACTAGAGCATAATTTAAATTAATTTTTATTATGTTAAGGTCCTTATTTACAACTACGCTAGTTTAGGGGCGTATTAGGGCTTGTACAGGGAGGAACCTTATGTTATTATTGTAGGTAGCAATTAGGTTTACATACGCGTTAAGGTTGTTTAAGAGGGGTTCTTCTACTATAGCGCGTTACAGTTTAGTTAAGAGGGAGTTATATAAAGCTATAATTAGACCTATCTTATTTAGGCCTGTATTAGATGCAAGTTAGTAGAACTTAGTAAAGTGTAAAGTAAAGCTTTTTTTTTTTTATTATAAAGTGTTTAGGCAACTTAAAGCTGTTAACTTTTTGTTTAGGTCTTTATAAGTTGCTTACAAGAACACTATAAATTAGTCTAGGTTAATAATATTTTTATTTATTAGTAAGTTAATTAAAGCTGTTATGTTGTAGTTAAGTTAAAAGTAAGCATATAATAACTAGAAGTGTTTAAAGGGGAATTAGTCTATGTTTCCTTTAAGTTTGTATTAGAGCTTGCGTAGAAAGGAAAGTAAGTCTTTCTATTTTCTATTAAACAGTAGAGGATTAGAGAGTTAGTTAGATTTTATTACTAAGTTAGAAAGGTTACAGGTTGTAGGTAGTGTTAAGTAGAAAGAAGTTAAGCTATCTCTAAACTTTTAGGTAAGCTTTAAGGCTAGTAAGTTCTTAGTTCCTACTACTATAATAGAAGTTAAGGCAGAAACAGACTACTTAATAGCGTAAAGCTATTTTTTAAAGTTCTTTTAAAAAGCTTTAAAGCTTACAACATAGTAGCTTTTTTATAGAGTAAGCGCTTTTTAAAAAGCTTTTTAGCTTACTTTAATAGCTTAGAGTTATGCAAGTACTAAGCTTATTAGATTAGATTTAAAGGCTATTCTTAGCTAGAGTTTTAATATAATATAATGTTATAATTATGCACAAGTAAGGTTATAGAGCTTTGTAGAGGTCTAGTTTAATTACTATGTAAGGTATTATAGTAGGTACAAGACGTTGTGTAAGAAACAGGAAAGTTTAGGAGAAAATTAGTAATTAAATACTTAGCTTAGAAGTCTAAGCGCTTTAGGTATAAATTAAGCCTGTTCTAGGTTTAGTTAGTGTTAAGGCAGTTTATGCTTAAGTTTATGTCTGTGTTGTGTTGTGTTTGTGTTAGACGTGCACTAATAATACTCTAGTACGCGTCTAATACAGTTATGTCTGGGATCCAGGGAGGATACCGTGACACTTATATTGTACAGCTATGTTGCTGCGTCTACTACTTCTAGCTAGAGCTTCTTAGGGAGTCCTGCGCTGCTTCTTATCTTAATAAACTTTATAATTATCTCTTATCTAGCTCTTTCTGCAGCTTTATTTAGCTTATAAGTGTATAGTAAAGAGCTTTTAATATTAATGCTAAATTTCTTTACTTAAAGCTTATACCTTAACTTTTTATGCTAAGGAAGTGTAGCAGTGTTGTTATTTTGCTGTATTTTACTAATTTAAAGCTTATATTAATTAGACACTATGCTTTTAAAGTTCTCTATTACTCTCTAGATTTCTAAGAGCGTTTTTGCCTAAAGAAAGTATAAAAAGATTTTACTGCTATATTTATCCTTAACAATTATTATCTATAGAGCTCTGCTGCGCCCTAATAGCATATTAAACATGTCCTATGCAATTCTTTAAAATAGGTAGGGAGCTTGCTCTTTTAGTCTTCTTAATATAACCTGCTTAGCGTGTGTTGTTGCGCAGTGCTTACAGCGTACTTGCTCTGTACCTATTATTTATACGTTCCTTGCGCTTTTAACTAGAGCCTACAGAGCTTTAGAGCCTAGGTGTCCTGCGCGCGCATGCTAGAGCTCTTCTAAGTCTAAGCGTAGGAATGTAGTCTATAAGCGTTAGTAATCTAGAAGCACACTCTGCACTAGTAGGTAGAAAGAGACAGCTTTATATTTAACAAACATAAGGTTATGTTCTTAGCAAAGTGTTATAAGTACTTTATTTTTTTTTAGCGTGCTTATGCGCAGTGTATAGTTAAGTCTTAAATACTATAGTCCTTTTTCTTTTAAATAAGCTTTTAAGATAATATTAACATAAAATCTTTTTACTATAACTACCTCTTATAGTGTAAGATCTTCTATGCGCTCTCTCTATGCTTTATTTAACACCTCTTTAAGCTTTTTAGTTTCTGTTCTCTAGATTAGGAATAACTAGGTGCTAGCTTCTACTATATATAAACTTTAAGCTTTTTTAAATAACTTAGGTATAAGTAGCTTTATACTATTTACTAAGTGCGTAGCACTTCTATTATCTAGAATTATGCTTATAGAGAGTAGGTAAGCGTTAAAATCTATAGTTGCGTGCATCTCTAGTTTCACTAAAAGCGCTAGGTTTATAAGTGCAGCAATAATGCTTTCTAGGAATGCTAGCTTATTTAATCCTTTAATAGCTTTTAAAGCAGAGAAGGCTATGTCTAGAATTATATAGCTTTTTTTAAGTAGTATAGCCTTTACTTTCTTATGCTGTGCTTACTTAAGCCTTTTAAGAATCTTTTAATGTGCAGTTTTACTAAGCTTCTTTAGCTTTTTAGTAACTACTAATATAAAGTCTCTATAGTCTGCTGCTTTTTATAGATAAAGGGATTGCCTTAGAGCTCTACATAGGCACAGGTGGCCTAATTAGGCTAAAATAGATTAGGCTAAATTATTATCTAATTATCTGCTAAGTGTTATAAATATACCTATGCCTTAGTTGCTTACGCGTAGGGAGTACTTTTAAAGCATTATTAAGAAGATCTTGCTAATTTTCTAGATTATTAGAGGTTTCTTACTAAGTGCGCTAGCCTCTATAACCCTCTAGTGCATAGAGCGCGCCTAGTCTAGTGCAAGCTTTAGAGCTAGGGCGTCTAGGAAGTCTTATGCAGTAAGCTAGCCTTCTATGTTAAGAATCTTATAGGTCCTTACCTTAGTATATAGAAAGTGCTACTGCTAGTACTAAGCTTCTAGAGTTATAGTGCTATGCTTTGCCTTAGTAAAGTAAGCTTTGTACTTTACTTGTATAAAATTCTTTGTGCTTGCGTTTATTAGTGCTAGCTCTTATTTTAAGGCTTATATAAGTGCCTATAAAGTAGATTAGTTCTCTAATATAAGCTGCATTATTATAGGTCCTAAGAGCTCTAGTGCAACAGTTGCATTAACCTAGTTCTAGATTGTCTAAAAACGCGTTGCACAGGAAGCCTAGTTACTTAAGCAAGCTTAGTACTTAGCAATATTAGTCTAGTACTGTACATTAGCCTTCTCTAGTAGGTTCTTAGTAGTAATTGCTTTAAGTATAGGCATCTCTAGAGCGCTGTCTATAGGATTTAGAGCGTCTAGTCTATCTAGATTAATCATGTCCTATAGGTTTTTGCTAAGAGCATAGAACTAGAGCTAGATAAACTAGAGAGGCCAGCTTGCGTAGTCCTTAAGCTAGTATGCTCCTGTTAGGAGAGGAGCATCTTAATTAGCTATAACATAGGCTTTAGAGGTAATAAGAATTAATAAGGATAAAGAAAAAAGCTTCTAAACAGCTTTTGCTAGTACTATAGTTATATAGGGAGAATTATCCTAGGTTCTTAAAGCGCTAGGCCTATAACTGTGGAGGATAAAATAGCCTGGCAGTAGCTGTTTAGAAGATTGGATGAAGTGACTCTGCTCTCTAAGAGAGCTGAAGGCTCTCCTTATATACACCGAGCTTCGGAACATAATATCTCCAGATCCCGAGCTGCGTCCCAGGCTCTGAGCCCCCAGTCCCAGGCTCCGAGCCCCAGCCAAGGCTCTCAGTATACGCGACAGCAATCGATCATAGTCGCCGGCATTCGCTTGAGATAGCAATCAGATACGGCTTTCGAGGGATGCAAGACCCCGAATGCAGTTGAGAATCTTTAGGAGAAGCTCGTCTAGTAGTTCCATCAGCGGTGGTAGAAGCAATGGGGAGTGCCATCTGGTCAGGATGGTGTGGATATTTGTAATGTCAAAAATATCTGTAGCCTTGCAGAGGGCATGGGTTATGAAAAAAAAGTTATGGATATAGTATGATGAGACGCCAAGCCCAAGGTTGATTGGGAAGCCCATCGTGGAGCCATCCGGCTCACAATATCAAGTAAAACATTGAGTTTTTGGTTTGAGGGAGAGTGATGGTGGGGGTGTATGCTGAAATAATCGACTTCGCCGCGAGGGGGGTGTTAACCAACTTGGGATCTCATCCATAATCGAAGTAAGAGGGAGGCAGGAGAAGGCACATGATCAGAAAGGTTATGGGAGAGCGATATTGGTCGCAGTCGATGTGAGTGTAGGATCAACCAGAGAATGTACGTTAGGATGCCCTCACGAGCGATCCATTTCCAAGATCCGATTGGTCTGCCAAGAATCACCCCGGAGTAACAAACTTCCGATAACAAATACCCTGCCGTACATCCCGCGGGGAACGCTTCACTCCACTTGCGCACTTCAACTCCTGATAGCGGGGCACTTCCACGCCACGACCCTCCTCACGCGCACCCAATTTTTTACAACTCTAATTTCGCACCGCCAAAATGTTCAAAAAAGAGTCAGACCCTTCAAATGTCCTTCGGCAAAAATAGCTCTCTAATTACTCTGCCAGTGCAACCCCCGGCGCAAAATCCAAAGTGAAATCCTCCGCTCAGCGCGCCATCCGCTCGAAAGTGCTCGACGAATACCCCAAGCTCGAGCCATATATCGAAGATATCATGCCGAAGAAGGAGCAGCTAGATCTCGTGAAGCTGTATGTCACCCTTTCCCCTCCATGTGTGGAGAACGACACGCAAAGAACAGGGCACGAAACGATATATGAGACTAACAGGAGGCCTTCAGACCCGACCGCGTCTCCCTCTATACTCTCGGATCCACCCCCCTTTTTTTCCAACACATGGACGACGCATTCATGCCCCACCTATCTCTCGTGCACAAATACCCCTCCGCATTCCACCGCCTGCGGATCGACCGCGGGGCCATACGCTTCGTACTCTCTGGCGCCACGCTCATGGTCCCGGGCCTCACATCCGCGGGTGGCCGGCTGCCAAATGACCCCGAAGATACGGAGGGGACTTATGGCGATGAGGAGCTTGAGGCAGGGGAGGTGGTGGTGATTGAGTCCGAAGGGAAGGAGAATGCGTGTTTTGTGGGCGTGTTGAAGATGGGGACGAGGGAGATGAAGAAAGTTAAGAAAGGGCAGGCATGTGAGGCGGGGCATTATCTGGGTGATGGACTTTGGGGTTTAAATTTGGGCTGAGGGGGGAAGGGAGGAGAGAGTTGCTTGAATATGGTCTCGGGACGATGGAAGCTCCTGTCCTTATGTATAGAGGCATTTGGGCAGATAAGGATAGAAAGTAGCAAAGTAGCAAAAATCCCAAGAAGGTAAGGAGAGCTATGGGAGTTAACTAGACTAAGCCTGCGTGGAGGGCAGCATGCAGCACACTCTAATCGAGAAGACAGCTATCATAGCCTTGGCCTGGAGCCCATCCAAGCATCAAACGCCTATGACCTTGAACCTGGTATCATTGCTGTCTATTCGTGAATCAATATGAACAAACACCCCGAATTGGTCAGCCAGACTAATGCGCAATCGTGAAGGCGGCTTCTACTGTGGCGGTGGGCCTCCTCGGCCAGCACCACCCATCCCACCCATAAAATTCCGTGCCCTACACAGCATTAGCATCCGTCATGGAAGGGAGCAAGGAGATCAGGCAAGCCTACATTTCAGCAAGACTTGGGTCATTCATCAAGTCAGACAGGTTTGGACCTCCGCCACCTCCTGCTCCTGCCCCTCCTCCCCTTCCTCCCCCACCGCTGAACCTCTCTGCCATCTGAGCAATCCTTGGGTCATTCATCATGTTGCTCATCATGTCCGGATTCGACATTAGGTTCTGAGCCATCTGCCGCATCATCGGGTTGTTCATGAGGGACGCCAAATCCGGCATGCCGCCTCCACCTCCACCACCTCCTCCTCCAAGCATGCTCGCCAGGCTGGACAGATCCGGCATACCACCAGCACCAGTCGCACCACCACCCGGTACTCCCCTCGTGCCGGCATCCGAGGCACCGATGTCACCGCCTTCTTCTTCGTATTTTTTCTTCGCCGTTTCGTACCCCTTGCGCATGACTTCGCTTCCGCCACCTTCGGCATCCATGCCCGCCTTGTACGCCTCCATAGCGCCCTTCGCATCACCAAGGATATACTTTGCCAGACCCAGTCTCGACCATGCTTTGCTGTATGTCGGATCCGCAGCAACTGCCATCTCTGCATCGCTCTGCGCTTCCTCTTGCTTGCCCATTCCTGAATACGCAGCCGCGCGATTGGAGAGGTATATAGGGTTCAGCGGAACGATATCCAGCGCCTTAGTATAAAATTCGATAGCAGCCGCATAATCCTTCTTCTTCATAGCTTCATTCCCCAGCCCTTTGAGTGACTCCGCCTCCGCCTTACTCCCGTCCGCACCGGTGCTCCCTGTGGAAGCTGTCGCAGGCGTCGCCGGCCTTGCTTCTTCGGCCTTGCTCTCGCCTTTCGTACTCGCAGTGCTCTTGCCTTTCAGCTTTTCGTAGACGTTGTAGATTGCGAGGAGGTTCTGGCCACCGAGAGCGTCAGTCATGGCGGCTTTGTCTGACGGGTCAACTTTGAAGGCTTCAGAGATGCAATTGGATGCTATTTCGAGCTGTTCCGTGTCTTCAGGGGAGACGGACCCATCGCCCTGGGCAGTCTGGAGGAAGTCGAGGATTGCAAGCGCAAGGCGCTTCTTAGAGGTTAGGCTTGCCTGCGTTCCGTGGTTAATTCGGGAGGAAAGAAAGGGAGGAAGGAAAGAGTACCATGGCGGCAATTAAGGTGTTATGAGGTTGAGAGCGTCAGGTGCGTAAGAGGCAGATAGTTCGAGGTATTATGAAAGGTCTTTTATAGGAACCTGAAGGAGAAAGCCGGCAGTGGACTCCGGACAACGTAAGATGCAGATGGAGTGGGGTGAATTTAGACTCGAAGCTTCGATGTCATGATTGGAGGGGTAATGCCAAGGGTTCACGTGATAACCCCAACTCTTCCCGAGTCCTTGAGGTCAGTTTCCAAGTGAGTCACTAAAACTTGTGGTAATACAAATTTGTAAAGCATGGTACAGTACATGTTATACATATTCGGTCGTTGATGTTCGATATCCCTATTTTACACATAGTTTTACATTCACTGTGAACCTCTGCGAAACAAATCCATGCTCAGTCCAACTCTTCCCAATGGTTCTTCTTTTCTTCTTTTCGAGGCCAGAGAGACTTCCACCAGGGGTCCTCCTTCATAGCCGCCGCTCTTTCCGCCCTCTCTTCTCCGTCCATATCCAGTTCAAATTTCCGCATTCGTTCCGCAATTCGCGGATCAAGAACCATCTCGTCCAACCATACTCTTTCCTTGCCGTCATCATCTTTTCGTTCCCGCACAGACTTGTGCCATTCTTTTTCTTCATACTGTAGCAGCAGCAGCTGTTCCCACGCAGATGCATCGTGCTCATCGTCGACTCTGGTACTAGAAATGCTAGAATGCGATTCTCCGGGTGAATCGTAAGGTCGATATACTGCGAGGACAGCGGCTGCGGTCTGTCGACCTATATCATCAGCCACTTGTCGTCGATTTAAGAAACGATACATCCGTATCGGGAAGTTAAAGAAGCCTAGGAGATGGGGGAAGGGGATCACAGCGGAAGGTGGAAGTTCTGAAGGACAATTTCGCGAGAGGAGAGAGTTGTTGTAGTCGACTACGCTATTGAAGGGGGGCGGTTGCTTCTTCTTTTTGGGCTTATCCTCTCCTTCCTTTTTGGGCATTTCTGGTTCCGGTTCCGGTCCCGTTCCTTCTTGCGCTGCCGCTGGGGATGCATCGTCGCTAGATACAGGTGGAGAAGGCTGATCGGGTGGAATTGGTGCGTCCTGTGTGATAGGAGGAGATTCTATAGGGACTTCTGGTATTTTCTCCGGTTGCGGCAGATCCAATGGCCCTAGCCAGCCTTCATGCAGTCCTCGGACATATTCTTTCCAAGCATGTCTCCCAATAACAATATCGCCAGCTGTTCCCTCCCAATCTTTAACACCAGACCTCTTCCTCGTCTCTTCCAGTATCTCCTGCATATCTTCTTCTATGGGATCCGACGTGGGCTCTCCTTTTTTCTTCCGTAGCCTCCTTATCCGCTCTGCCAACCCTGCCCTAATATCGCCCTCTCTCCGTCCCTCGATTGCGTCCCAGTCCAGGGCAGCGGCAACTAGTATCGGCTTGACGTATTCATGAAAATGATCGCGGGCCGGTAATAGTCCATCTGCGGGTGGCGCCGAGATGTATATCGTGAGCTTCCGGGCCAGTTGTTGTGTATCCAGTGGTTCCTGCGCGATGTGCTCGACTACTTTCGTCCACTTCCGTTGTATGCGTTTCTTCTCCCGGCGGTCGTACATGACTGCGGCGGTCCATGAACCCGTGACTGTGAGAAATATCATCCAATTCCGCGAGGGAAGTCTGAGGCGGAAGTTGGGGAGCCCTGTAGATGTGTTAACCACCAAGACTCAGGTATGGAAGGGTGTATACCCATCATCCGCCAAATTGGATTTGGGGGCTTCTGTGGCTTCGGCGCCTTGTATGTGGTGTCTGAAGCGCTCGCTGGAGGCGCTTTCGCATCCTGTTCAGCCATTTTTAGTTCTGGTAAACCGGATGGTTTGGCCCAGTAGTTGGTCCAAAAAAATTTAGAATGCGGGCGGGCAACAGCGGAATTTGCCCGGAGCGGTCGAGTGCGGAATGCTCCGAATAGGTTTGGCAGCCAACAGACATCCAAGCACTACTGCCAACTCGCCATCTATCATCACTCAACGAGCACCTTGACATTTTTTTAGCCTTACCAAACAATGATCAATTATCTCGAGTACTAACCTGATATATTTGTCGCGATAGTATGACTTCTCACCTGCTTCCATAGCGGTAGCGAGGCTGAAACTGTCGGGTGTACTGCATGTTAGTACTCTCGAATATCTACTCCCGAGACTCGGCAAAAGGCTTAACACATTGCATTTGCCCTATATATGTTCTGTTAGGCCTTGACAACATGCAGTCCAGGATGCAAAAGAGATATGCAGCCAAGCGAGAAGCACCATTGACTAGGCACCTCCCAGTGTGGACGCCAGCTTCAACACAACCCCACGGTCTGCAAAAACGAACTCCAGCTCCCGAACCTAGCAGAATCTAACAATAGCCTGTGGTTTGATCGTCCAATTATTATCTTATCTTTTTTCAAGTTCATCATGATATCTCCGGAGGAAAGGCGCGGCAGGACTGCATGGCCTGGAGAAGAGTAAGACGGAGTGCTTCAGTCTCAGCCTTACCCGCACTCGAGATGAGCATCAAGAGATTCGAGCACTTTGGTGGCTTCAAGACGCGGTAACCCTCCCCTAGACGGATCGTTCGCCTACAGGTGCACTTCCTCTTACTTGTCGTCTCTCTAATAATCTTCGTAAGCCCAAAGGTCTACCTCCCCCAGCTTTGCTGCTACCCCTTTGCCGTTCTGAGATATTCAGAGAGAAACCTTTGAGCGAAGTCCCCTGGGTATACTGAACTAACAGACTAAATTATTTTTGAAAGAAAAGTCTTTATCAGCCTTTTATTAGTATTCAAAGGCGACTCACGCAGGACAGATAGCATGGTAGAATAATTTTCTGTGGCGAGAGTTAGCATCGTGCGTTATCTGGGTTCACCTCTGAATTCGCGGATTACATTGAAAGGGAGAACGTTTCCACGGCATCAAGTTTGAGGGATCCAGTCATGATATCCACAAAGATACTCTCAGTCTCGGCCCATCGGACATTCAATACTGGGAACTTACTAGGAGGGATGTGGAAGAATTCGCTCCGTTTCACTAACCACCCTTCTGCGATAGGTCGGAATTTTGAGTATTTCGTGCATCATGGCCTCATTAAGAGGAATATCCTTGCCGGTCGCCATTTGGAATCGTCCATGTGGCACGTGGGAGTTCTTGTATCCTGGGCGAGAGGGAGAGGTTCCTCGGTTGAGTTTCGTCACCGGTCTTTCCTATGATGGTATCCATCTCATGGCCTGCCATAGCTCCTATCATTCTATAGTTGAATATTGGCTCTGCAAATTCGAGGCCCTTTTTCTAGCTTTGTTAGGTTTCACTGTGGCCGCCCGCCTCTCTGCTGCTCTTCAACTTCCTTCGAGATTTCAGGCACAAGGGTGACGAATACTGTCGGTTCCCATTTATTGTTCTTGCTGTTCTCTTCTACTTTTATTTTATTCTGCTTAGTATTTGTTCCTCCCACTATTTGTCCTGCAGGTCTATATCGTCGTCAAGAGCTTCCTGCGCTTGATTCATCTTCCGAAAATCGCATTCCTCACTCCCAAATGGTCTCAATACTACTTCCCGCATACAAGTAACCAACAAACTTCTATAATTTATTGCCCCCCCTGTGGTCTGATGGTTTTGGTTATTGGTAGTGTGCCAAGATTAGAATTGAATGCTCACTTCCCGATGAACTAGTGACAGGGCTAAAACTCTTAAAGGTGTTAGTTCATGGATCGCCTCCGAGGAACTTAGTAATGGACTGTGGTCTTCGGTCAAGTTGACAGTTGAGGGTTGTTGACATTGCTTGAAAGAGGCGCATCTATTAAAATAGTTGCGGGCATGATTGACTCTCCAGTCCTGTGAACTTTAAGAAAGCGTAGAACTGCTGTTCTTGGAGGCATGATATCCCTATGATAAGATTCGAGTGAATACGAAATTGAAGTTTCCTCAACCTTTGTTAAGTGGAGAATCTACTCGCACATTTTGGTACGCTATGGTAGCTATGTTCTGATTTAGTGATTGAAGCAGATATGAATTAGTGTAGCCTCGAATCGCAAGCTATCTTAAGCATGGACTGGCCGCCTCTGAGGAAGACGATGCGTGAGCGCAGCAAGGCAGATTTAGATCTTGACACCTACCTAAACTGCCGGGATTTAAAACTCTAGCGCAGCCAATTAAGGAGGGCGTCGACAACGATGAAGAGACATTCTTAGCACTTAGTTTCTAAGATGTCCTACGTGTGAGCAGCTCTCCTCTTCATACTTAATTTCAAGAAAGCAGATGGGACATCCCACCCAAGAGCAAGGCTAGGGGCTGGGGTCTGGCTCGGGCCTGCATATTGTATGCCCCACGCAGCGAAAACCGTATGCTCACCGAGACTACTCCGCCAGTACATTATATAATTTCAACCCAAGAATTGACGTAGTTAACTATGAATTGCACTTCGCTGACATAATCACCACATTTCGGGCCTTCTTTCTGCCGACGATCTCGAACTTTTGGCCAGAGCTTCTCCGCAAAGCTTCAAGGGTTCATCTCACGCCCAACATCCATCATATCACCACTCGCCATGACATCTTGCTCCAGGCTGGCGGCCTCCGGCGCCTCCGGCATAATACGCTCTTCGCGACCTCAATTAATACATTCCAGGATATCCCCTCTTGCCATTCATCCGGCGCTCGCCGTCTCCTCCGCCCGCGCCTTCACTCAGCTAAACTCTCAATCCGCCTCCTCATCCAATCCTACAAACGTCTTCTCCTCAATGAGCCAACTCGGAAACCAGCCAGGTCCACCGTCGTACTTTCAATCCCAGCGACGACTCCCCGCCAACACCATCATCCGATTCGTACCGCAGCAGACGGCATGGATAGTCGAGCGCATGGGGAAGTTCCATCGTATCTTGGAGCCGGGGCTTGCGATCCTGATACCGTTTCTTGATCGTATAGCGTATGTGAAGAGCTTGAAGGAGGCGGCGATTGAAATCCCGAGTCAGAGCGCCATTACGGCAGATAATGTTACGCTGGAGTTGGATGGTGTGTTGTATACGAGGGTATTTGATGCGTATAAAGCCAGGTAGGCGCACTCTTTAAATCCCTTAATATGGCATGATAGTGGCTCTGCGATATATGAACTCAAAGCTGACACGAGTGCTTCCAGCTACGGAGTTGAGGACGCCGAATATGCTATCTCCCAACTCGCGCAAACCACCATGCGTTCCGAAATCGGCCAGCTTTCCCTTGACCATGTTCTCAAAGAACGCGCTAACCTCAACGCAAACATAACTGCCGCCATCAATGAAGCGGCCCAAGACTGGGGCGTCACCTGCCTGCGTTACGAGATCCGAGACATCCACGCCCCGGAGCCTGTCGTTGAAGCGATGCACCGGCAAGTGACTGCGGAGAGAAGTAAGAGGGCCGAGATTCTCGAGTCTGAGGGTCAGCGACAGTCAGCCATCAACATTGCAGAGGGAAAGAAACAGAGCGTGATTCTTGCGTCTGAGGCGCTGAAGGCGGAGCAGATTAACATGGCGAGTGGTGAGGCCGAGGCGATTCTCGTTAAAGCGCAGGCCACAGCAGCGGGAATCGATGTCGTAGCACACTCGATTGCGCAAGGTCAGGACTCCGCCCAAAGTGCCGTTTCGCTCTCCGTCGCAGAGAAGTACGTCGGTGCGTTTGCCAACTTGGCGAAGGAGGGTACAAGTGTCATTGTGCCTGGTAACGTCGGAGATATCGGAGGCATGATTGCAAGCGCAATGGCCGTGTACGGAAGAGTCAACGACGCGCAGATGAAGGGTGTTGCGTCTAAGATGACGGGCAACCAGGACACGCCAGCCGGCAGGAAGATTGCAGAATTGGAAGGCCAGTTGGGGGATATTGAGCACGGATCTGGGGAGGTTACCAGTGCGATTCAGAAGGCTATGGATCAGAGGTTGAATAGGAAGTGAGGGAGGCAAATCGAAGATTGGGCGCATAGCATTGCTGGACAGCGTAGGAGCATGGAGCATGGAACATCAGGGGAAGGAGTTGTCTTGTACAAGAATTATCTGTATGAATAGGCCACGCAGCGAGCGCCCCCACTGTGTTGGGTATCAATCAAGGGGTTAAAAAGCTGATTTTCTCCCTTCTTCATTTTTATTCTAGGAGTTCTCAACTCTTGTTTGGAAACTCCACTTTCGTTTGTTCATAGGGAAATAGATGTGTAACTTTCAACCCGGCTGATAACTGGTTCGAACAATAGTCGTGAATCAGCACTTCCACTTCCCACACACCCTATTCACTGTCTTGTTAGAAACAGTCTAGCAACCTAGTAACCTGCTACTTAAATCACTCTATCCCTCCCATTGCACACCTAATCTCACCTCAAGGGCCAGTATTCAGTCGTCCCAAGCCCCCCAGACCCATGCATCCTCCCAACAACTTCTTCAATCAACTGCACGATCTGACCGCCCTCTTGCCAGACTTCATCATGAGCTCCTTCCAATTTCCGGCACTCGAAAATCTTCTTCCTATCCCCTCCTTCCATATCATTTTGATTTTCAAGCATAGAATTGTCACCTGACTGATCCTTCCATCCAGCTGCCAACAAAGTTCTGCTCATACGCTCCATCTGCTCACCTTCCACAAGCCCATCCTCCGGACTCCAACAGAGCAACAACAACCTTCCATTACCCCACCCTTCATCCCCGAAACTGTGTGCATGCGACGTCGGACTCGCGCCTTCCCACACGCGGACATCGGGGCCGAATGCACCAGTAACGATATCCTTGTATATTTCCGCAATGTTCTTAGGTGTCTTAGGAGTGCTATGGTTTTGGACTAGAAGCGGGATGTTGTAGATTCCCGCCAATAGCACCAATGCGGCTGGACGACTGAGATATAGGTCTTGAGGGGAGACACCAATACGAGAGAAAAGTTGCAGCAGAAGCGTGCTGCCGCATGAGTGTCCGATACCAATCCATTTATACCCTTGCCTTTCCCCGTCCCCGTCTCCATCCCCGCCCCCAACGCCAATACCATACTCCCTCCGCAGCCACTTTAGGGCTAAGGCAACATCTTGTACATGCGAGGGATGCCTGACATTCCTGCTTTCATCGTCAGGAGAGCTTGGATGCGTGGGATGCAGGGGATAGGGCGAGAGACGGTAATTCAGAGATGCTATGCCTGCGATATGGCGGAGAGCGGTTGGATGAGTGGAGTGAGAGAGGTGGTGGATGGTGGGGTGGATGGTAGCGGAGTTTTGGAGAGGGTCGCGCCAGGCTCCGCCGTGGATATAGCTGGGTTGAGTTGTGAGCTTCGTAGGGTATTGAAGTGAGGATGGCGCAGAGGGGATTAGGAAAGAGGGCTACGGACAAGGTACGAGGACGTCTGACTTACATGATCCATATCGTGCTACTTGGTGGAGATTTAGATTGTGGTCGTGGAAGCCAGATATCTAACGTCTGGAGCTTTGTTGGAGGATCCGTATATGGAATGGCATCGATATGTTGAGGGTATCTTGGTGAAGAATCAGAGGCCAACATGGTTGAAGTTTGAAGTGGGATGTTCAGTTCCGAACCCCTTGCTCCTTGTCTCTCCAAATTCCGAAGCTCAACATCAATAGTGTTTCTCCACCCGATCGCAGCACATCAAGAACAGCAACACGAGATAAATGCAGTTCAGATCTATATTCAAAAATTTTTTTAATTTCCTACATACTATTCCTTCCCAACGACTCTTGCAGAGTTATATTAATTACGATTACCTTCCAATTCGAATCCTTCCAGTCCCGTGCCAAGGCATGCCAGCCAGCGCCAAACGCTCAAAAATGCGATGCAAGAACCCAGGGGTAGTAGTATGATCCAATAGATTTTTTCCGTCCCTCAATTCTCCTCACTCGGAAGAGAAAATTTTCAATCTAAACATGAAGCGAAGTGGGTATAATAAGACGATGCGTTTACAAGAACGCAGCGACGAAGGCACCGACACCAGCAACGGAGCCGGCAACAGCGCGCATCGTCGCAGCGGCACCGGTAGACTTAGCAGCGGTGCCAGAGCCGCTAGCAGATGCACGTCCGGTACCTGACGCGCCAGCGCCAGTGCCGGTGACGGTACCAGCAGAGCCGGATGCACCGCCGCTGCCGCTAGGAGTGGCGTTGGTAAGAGTGACGGTGGTGCTGTTGTTGGCAGAGACGACGAGAGTACGGGTGGAGTTGGCGCCCGCAGTGCCGGGGAGCAGGATCGTGTTAATACCACTAAGTCCAGCCGGAACATTGTTAGCCTCGCCGACGGATGTAGCGACCGCAGGCTGCGAGGTCACCGCAGGGGGCTGGTCGGGGATGGAAGTCGCCGCAGCAGGCTGGCCAGTGATCACGCCGAGCGAGTTGGTCTGCGTCAGACGAGAGGTCTGAGGGAAGGCATCGACAGACGAAGACTTGGCTGGTCAGATCAATTGACACGCGCTACATCGTTCAGTGATGACTTACGGAGTCTTGAGCCAGGGCCGCAATGGCGAAGATAGGGGCAGAGATGAAGATGGAGGCGCGCATGGTGACTGTGTTGGACTGTTTACGTGTTTTGTTGAACGAGTGGAAGATGAATTAACGACAGATTGATGAGGATGCTGATCCGAACTATTCTGATGAACTTATGGAATGGATTGATGAAGTGTGAGTGGATGGGAAGTGAGTGGTGAGAGCAGCGGACGCGTCAGGCTTTTTAAATGCCCCCAATTTCCTTACACCAGAGCTCCCCCTGTCTTTCCTGCGCCACCCTAGCCTGACCGAGCAACAGCCGCCATCGAAACTCAGCCATCCTTGTACCGGCTCATGGACCAATAAAAGCACATCTCCGCGAATGCCCCCTCCCCCAAAGTGGCGAGGAAGATCCACCAAGCGCAGTGTCGCAATTGTCAGAACCCAGACAGGCCACGATTACATCCTCATTGTTGAACGTCCGATGTTGTGGTTTTGGTGGGAGTGTGTTGTGTGTCAATCTGTCCTGCCACTGCGTTTCAAGGGCTCCCGAGCTCCTTTCGCTGTGCGGGAAATGGCATCTCCACACTTTGAAAACAAGTTCCCGCCGCACGCCTCCAAAATCCATGTTTCCACAAGAACAAATTTCACAATGCCCTCATTTGTTACATGGGACGAGCCGTCTCCTCTCGCTCGCCATTCCCATGTTCGTTCGATCAATTTCCCCCTTTATAACGAAGCGTGCCGTTGTTCCAGATGCAACCACAGTATGCCCCTCTTTTTTATTCGCGAAGAACCGGTAAGAATTTTTGTTTGCTAAACAATTGCGTGGCCAAGCAGGCTGGATTCTACTATTCTTAGCAGAAAGTCCGTTTGTGTGGTTCTGTTTGGGGCTTAGCGTGGATCATGCAAGGTTAGATCGAGAAATACGTCAACATGTGTGCAGCCACCGAGCACCACCCCCTGTCTCGATCTCGAGAGACCGAGAGACAGTAAATGGAATTGCCACCTTTCCAATACTCTTCGGCTGTGAGAATTTCATGAATCAATGGTGTCAATATTGAAGAAGTATTGATCGGTTGTGAAAGTACTCTCTAACTCCGAATTTCTTTATATTCTATTGACTTCACTCCGATCATTAGTTTCGGTCATTTCTGTAACTATCCATGGTAGTTGCACCCATCTCCTGCCCAAGGCAGTGAACGCCTTGCTAGTGACCTCCGAGACAAACTCCGGCGTCTTCGTCTGCAGCTTAGTGCACGTAGGCCGAGGTGGCCAGTGCACTGCGCGCTTCGTCACCTGGCCGCCTCCATGCATCGAGAAAGTGTTAGTTATGGAAGGAAGTTCAAGTGGAATCACCGTGGCTATGAGTTCGCTCTGCCTGCTCAACGGTTTCATGGTGATGTTGATACGTTTCTTTTCTACATCGAAACTACCAGCGTTTGTCCATGCGAGTATGAGTCCCACATTGGCAAGGGACAAAGTACCCGACATTTCAAGCCATATCGACTGCTTCGGCCTTGAAGGTATGCTGGATGCTCCATACTTAAGGAGATATCGGCTGAGCCCCGTATGGCCTATTCCCAAATCGCTATCTGTTCCTTTAGACTTCCGAATGTTATTTGGTAATTTGCCCTAACAGACAAAATATCGACATCCCCAAAAATTCATGTCATAGGGAACGAACCGGTAGGTCGATTGAATTCACCACGGCTCTTGATTATCATTCGGCATTCGTCCTACGTCTACGGCCACACTTCAAGCTCCAGGGGCCTATTATTCTCAAGCGCCAAGCAATAAATGTTAAGCCATATATGGAAGCTCTTTGGTCTCATACCACGAAAGGCGGGACCGAGGGAGCGATATCTTCAGTAAAGTCTTAGTGCAGCGGGGCTTTTCTCCAGATTGCGAGACTAGGCTGAGCGGTGATTCATCTACATCCCTAGAGCTACCTGAAATAGATCGCCCAAGGGGACTCAAAAGACTTTTTCAAATGTAGTACTAACATAGAATAGAATATTCTCCACATATTCTCGCAGTCACAATGAGCGAGACTCATAAGTGCTTGACATTAGGGACTGCTATGGCGCTGATTTGGTGAATGCTCCAAGCCCAGCCGTGTCCAGCTCAACTCGCGCCATTCGTGAATAGTTTCGTGAAACAATCATAGGAAGTGCGTTCTCCTGCTCTAAGTAGCAGCTCAATCAGAATCATATCCTTGTTTGCCCGAACGTTTGTTGAGATCAAGGCTTTATACGATGGAATCTCTACTTTCGAAGCCAAAGATCCAGATAGGGTCTTTGACAAGATCTGTTTCTGCAGCAAGCTTCTCAGTACTGCAGCGAATTTCCCAGGCATCTCCTGCTCACAACAACTGGAACATCTTTATAAGGAACTTGTTGCAGTCCTGAGAAAGCTCGCTCCGTACAACAGGACAGCTCTTACCTAAGACCTAGAGAGGCACGTCATCCTTGTAGATGTTCTCATTCAGGAAATATTATCCTTTGCCTAGTAAACCGTCACTGGGTTTTCCACCTGCAGTTCCGAGCTGGAAACGTTTGCAATGAGATCTTCAACTTCTAGGAACAAATTTGGACGGATCGCTTCACGCTAGACAGACTACAACATTTCCACTACGAGTCCGCCAATCATTATGCGTCATGTAAAGCTTCGGTCGAGTATAATGTTCCCCCTCTTTCCACCTGGATGAAAGGTCACACAAGGAGCGTATATGCCATCTAAAACTCCTAACTTGTTGGGCCTGCAAGAGTGCTAGAGCGTAAGTCTTTACTTTTAGGCAAAGGCACGAACAAAAACATATAGAAAATTCAGGCGGGATTAATCGTTACTTGTTCTGTGGTTGGCTACGTATGACTGCCATTGAGTTCATCCCTCTGACCAGCTATTACGTGTATCATATTTAGGCTCCACTTGCTAGATTTGCCGTAGAAGCCAAACTTGAATGGACGAAAGTGTTGGAAGCAGCAAGGCACGTCCAAATTCTTCTCAGTTTTCGTCTCCGAGGTTCATGTAGGAAGACGGTTAGAGAGCAGCGGCCAAACAGTAGCGTCACCAGATATTAAGGCGCTCAGGGTTCTTGAAGATATTGACCGCATCACTACTCGCAGGCAATTCAACTGACAGCATTCGCTAGGGACAGATGATCCCTTGAGAATACGTATCCCTAGATCATTGCCAGGAGAGATCGACTGTCTTGCCACACGGAAGTATGAACCATATTGCGAAGCTTACGGAAAACACTTGGGACAAGACTGTGGGAGGTATTTGGCATATGGTATTGCCGTGCACTTCGATTGCATAAACAACTTCCGGCAATCAAGCCAGAAAGGGGCGTCAGACTCCAGTGTTACCCAGTGAGGACCTCTTATTTCTTTTCAGTTTCCCCTGCTTTTCTGATCCCCTTTCACCATTTTACCCGAAGGTATTATCCACCAAGCAATCTCTCCTTGTCAGGTCATCGCTTGCTTTGAGTATCATTGTATTCATTTCACCCACATGTACGGGTTCTTATACAGTAGTAGTCGCATAACATGGAACATGACCAAGATGAAGTCAATCTGGGAAGCCTCTCACTGACTGAAATTAGGGAGAACATTCATAAGATGCAAATTTTCTGCCCCAAGTTACAAACAAACCTTGCTATGCTCTTTGTGATGTGATAAGATAGAGTACTACCTTCGAGCTGGGCGCTCGTAAGGATTTTTGAAGAGAACTAACCCTAAAAGGTTCACAAAAGCTGTAAATCAAAGGCGTTTCTATCAAAGGTTATAGAAGAAAAAGTGCGCTAATACAAACTGGTTTTCGTCGCGTGCTGAACGATTGGTGCTGGAAACTGACGGCTCACTGACCGCGCTGACTGGCGCTCTGGCCAATGCCTGCCCCGACATCTCGCGAGGCCCCTTGTTCCTCTAGTAGTACGGATTACACTTCCGGAAATCTTCTCCCCACATCTGGCATGGTCGGCTGCGCGAGCTTCGTGACCATGCTCCACGCGTCCTGCTGTTGCCGCTGCAGCCACTGCGCGGCCTGTCAAGCTCGTGTGTATTCTGGGGTGAGCAATGCGAGCTTCTGCTCCTCCTCCTGCTCCTGCTAGCCCTACTCGTGCCTACGTGCTGCTGCTGCTGCTGTAGCTACGGTGTACTCAGGAGGCGAACATGGGCCTACCGCGTAGTCAGCGCCGCAAGCGTAGCCAGCATGTCGATATCAACATTGCGAACAATGTAGAGCTGCCCCCTAACGCGCAGAACACCCTAGGTACAATACATGATCAACGGCCGGAGAATACGCGCCAGGTCTACAGCCCAAAGCAAGAAGAATTTAAAGTAATATCTCTCTATCTGCTCTAGCTGTTCCAGCTTGTGTGATTGGCTAACGACGCGTATAGGCATTCTGTGAGCGGAAGCGGTTCTCCGATAGCGACACAGTGACAGAGGATAAGCTGCTGCTCTTCCTGGTAGAAGAGGTTACGAATAGGCCTCTAAGAGCCAAGTCTCGTAAGGCGGGCAGCGACATCCCGCAACACCAGACGCGTCTTGCCTGGCGCTCAGTTCGCGCCTACGCCGCTGCTATCACTGACCTCTGGCGGGAGCAGAAGGCGCTAGGCATGAACAGCCATCCGACGCCCTGCAAGAATAAAGCGAGAGAATACCTCAGGTCGCTGCAGCGCAGAGATGCCCAGCGAGATCAGGATCAGAACCCCGACGAGGGGAGAGACATACCGTTCGACGGGTTCACCGAGGATGAGTTTGAACGGCTCTGCGGCGAGCTATGGATACATGGTGCGAGCGAGGGCTCAGCTTCAGCAGCAGAGCGGCACTTCCGCACGCTCGTTGACATCCTTCTAGGCCAGTACATGCTCACGCGTGGAAGCGACCGTCGCTCTGCAAAAATATCAGACCTCTTCACCTTTGAGTCTAAAGGGGAGGGTCCTACACGCTGTATGCCTCTAATATTCACCACCCACGCAGGCAAGCAGAGCCAGCACGGCCGGCTAGAGACGATTGGCGCGCTGCGGCATAGCGAGCCGCTGCTCTGCATGCTCAGTAGCCTAGCCTTCTACCTGCTTTCTCGCTGGGACCTTAGAGAGGAGCCCTTTCCCGACCTTAGCCAGCCCTTAGCTTGGTACGGAATACGTCTGATTAAGGCCAGCGCGGCCGACCCCACTGTAGCGTTCTCGTACAACTCACAACGCGACTGGGTCGCGCGGGCCTTCCAGTACGCTGGTATCTCGTCGCAGAAGAAGACCCATATAGGACGGAGCACAGGGGCTAGGCTGGCAGAGCTCAAAGGGGTCAGCGAGGAGCAGATTCGGCGTGCTAGCAGGTGGAATCAGGAGCAGATAGTTGACTGTTACCTCAACTCTCTGCCCTGGAAGTTTATGAGGACTACGGCTGGCCATCCGGCCCAGATGGGCTGCTTTAAGGTCCCGCGCGCAGACGTCACGCCTCCAGACGAGCTGCTGTCCCTCATCTGGCCGCAGCTAGATGCATGGAAGGGACGCTTTGGCCCGCACGCTGGCCAAATTAATGACCTTGCCGCAGCTGGTTTCACGAGTCTGCTGTTCTACCTTAGAGAGGTACTCCTCCAGGATTCAGTAGCTATGCGCCGACGATTCCCCAACCACCCTGTGTGGAATCATCCAGTGTTCCAGCACAAGGCATACGCAGCTTTCGCGCAGGATGTTGAGGCGTCCCTTGACCCAGCGGCTCCCAGCCGGCTGTCTGCCTTGTACCAAGCGATACCGCAGCTTGCAGACCACCTCAAGGCGCTAGATTCTCAGAATAAGCGGCGGATGAAGGAGCTTGAGGAGTGTGTTAATCGCCTTGTTGAGGTACAGACTTCGCATTCCCAGCACCTGCAGATGCTCGTGTCCCAGCTAGAGGCATCCCAGAGGCTAGGCAATACACTACAACCACTAAGGCCAGCGCTGCCGTCGTCATCAGACATGGCTGCTTCTGGCAATTACACCTCCACCCAAGCTGGCATTGCGCCTTCATCGTCTGCGCACTCGCCCAGCCCATCTCCTCTGCCCGCAGCGCCTGAAGCAGCGCCTGAAGTAGCGCCTGAAGCAGTGGTTGAAGCAGTGCCTGAAGCAGCGCCTGAAGGAGTACCTGAGCCAGTGCCGCCATCGCTGGTCGCTCCAAAGCATCGCATGTGCCGTGCAGTGAGGACAGTGGAGGATCTCTGGCGTGAGTGGACGGTCGGCTTACAAGGCCAGCCTTCAATCACTGAGCTAGATAGGCGATGGGGCAGTCGCTGGAGGTCGGGCCGCCGTAGCGAACTGCAGTGGTATTCTCTACGACTTGAGGTTATCAAGGAGATCAGGCGCATAACCCAGGCGCAGGGGACTAGTGAGGAGGCTGCTATGTGGCAGGTGAACAAACAACAGCAGCAGCAGCAGTACTCCTTGGACCAATTTTGCAAGCAGCTTAGAGCTGCCAGGAACGAGAGTGGCAAACAGTAGGCGGCTGGTAGTAGGTTATGTTGTATAGAGTATGTATACTTGGCAGCAAAGATTATGTACCAGTGCTCACATCGCCCACGCCTAGCAATGTAATGGCTACCCTAATCTAGCCCAACAACGCTACAGCGCAGCAGCAGCTTCATCGTAGCCCTAGAGTGCCGGAAATCAGGATATCTGTGCATGTTGCGGCATTAACATCATCCATGGAGGGTCGGCAGAGGAATGGAGATGGGTGAATACGCACGAGCCTGGAAAGCTTGCGCAATAACCACTTTGATACCGCGATCGACACCTTTTCTAATAAATGCCTATTCAAGTGGGCCGATAATATTGAAAATGTACTACAATAACGAAGACCAACGATCCAGAACACGAAATCACTGATCGCAGACCCTGCGTGCTCTACAAACGCGAAGAAACTGGGCAGCGGCTGCATTCAAGAAGAGAGTTTGAGCAGAATGTGCAGTCACGGTGGTGGAGCAGGGGTAGGGTAAGCCGACGTTGCACGTGAACGCGCGAGCTGCATGGTGACGAACAATCTGCGGGGCCGCTCTTACGCGTCATCAACGCGGAGGCACGCGTATAAGATGAGTAGCTTTGTTCGATACCTTCCTTGAACAAGAAATTCCATTTCTTCCTTGTCAAGTTTTCCTTTGAACTGGAATACGTCGGTCTCAAGAACAACGACCGCCTCAATTTAAAAACTACTCCAATTTCGATGGCCGCGCCTCCGATCTCGTCCCGACTGTAGAAGAACCCGAAACAGTTGTTGTCCAAGGCGAGGCTACCGTTCGTCAAGACTTAGTTTATGAAATGACTATGGATGGTCCTTCCATTGGATTATTTGACCTGGTGAGTTCTCGATCCCCACCTTGCTGAAAGTGGTTGTAGGTTCCGGGAAGTCGATCAGAAGCGGCAATATCAATAGTATATCATCATCCACATTTCCACATGACTGCATTTGTTTACACTTATATCCTAATACTTTATGCACCATGTCTCATGAGCGGATGGGAGTTTGTTTCGACACGAGCTCTCGGAAGAAATTATAATACAGACGTAACCACCTACCGCCACTTCGTACCAGTGCTCCATTGGGATTCGAGCAGGTAGCATGACAGACACCTGTGACTCTTAGCCACTCTACCAGTCCTATCATTCAGGTAACGGGGCATAATAGCCGACATAGACTTCGAAATCCAGACGTTATGTGTCTCGCAGTGAAAACGACACAAATTGTTCATTTCAGTCACCGTTTATCTTTGCGTTGATATGCCCTCCTTAACATAACATCATGTCAGTGTGTATCTGAGCCGCTCCCTTCCTTTCAGAGATTCTCAATAACTTAGCTTTCGGACCAATTCCCTACTTCGCCTTTCTTCCTATCTTTCTCACTGACTATCTACGAAATTGACTTAGGTTGTTTGGTTTTGTTGTAGCCCTGTTTCGTTATTAAGAGGACTCTTTGCCCACTCCTCCATCCTTGTACCGCTTAAGTAAGCATGGGATTAACGCGAGAAGTTATTGAACGGATTGCAAGAGGTAAAGGGAAGCTTCACTGAATCATTAGGCGACACGCGGAGGATGAGGCAAGACAAGGCCATGGAAGTTTACTCTAACTCATCCTGGGAGCCGAAGAGAATCGGAGGAGTCTTTCAAAATAGATTTGCAAATTTTTGGCACAACAGACTCAGAGTATCGATTGTTCTCAGCATTTTAGATAGCCTCCATGAGAAACCGGGGATCTGTTAAAATACAGATCTATTAAAATACTTGAGGAAAGCTAGTAATTGAGGGTTAGATATTAGCAAATAAAGATGAACGACAAAGAGCGTGCATTTCCCTCTCTTCGTTAAAATTGAATGCAATGAAGAAGTATTCACCAGGGATAACATAAAAGCGATTTTCCGGGTAGGGGAGAGCTCCAAGCCTCCTGGCTAAGGATACATAGGAGAAAAAGGCATCGGATTTAAGTCAGTCTTCAGAATTGCCAATATATCTTACATACGCTCACCTCTCTACTATTTCCAGTTGGATCAGGGTAGGGATCTCGGAATGATCACTCCTCAATGGGACGAAGCATATTTGCTCAGCATCGGCAGGAATACCAGACCACTATCATACTGGATCATAGCTTTGAGACTCCGACAGGGTTTTCTGCGACTCTCCAAGAAGACATCACGGCAGTTCATCCAATGGGTATACCTTTTCTTCGCCATATACAGCGACTGTGACTTTGTCTTTTCCAATCGGCTCGCTCCGGGCCTCCAATTCGGAAGTACTTTCGGCGCCACGAGGAAGACAGACTATGTCCAGGGATTATATCTCCTGAAAACGAAGATTCTCATTTTAAGGAATACTTCTACAAGTTCCCATCAATTCAAATTTCAGAGGGAGTGAGGTTCGCCGACTACGGTTGTCTTGTACCGAGATAGCGCCCGCATTTCTAGTCATTCTGAGATTTCCGACTTTACCTACCAAGACGGCCATGGTACGCTCACGAGCCACTTCCAACAAATGCAGCATCCGTATCCAGCACCGGATTGGCTCAATACTAATCCGCCGTTGTATCGACTCGAGGTCAAAAGCATGACTTCAAGATCCCGCAACTGCGTTCTACATGAGTGGAGCTCAATATGGTTTGGTACTATAAGTGACTTCTACGAATGCGGGGATACGTTTAGCTAATACGGGAATATAGCGAAGCGGTTACGGGTTACATCGACTATACCTGCGGAGATTTACGTGATAGTTCGTGTCTCAGGGTTAGATGCCCTTGAAGAAGCTGCGCATCATGAGCCAGAATGGAGGATGTATTTGGATCCATATAGTCGTGGCGAGGAAGGCGTGTTAAGATTTTTCGTACCGACATAATCCGTACATGGTGACTGCTAGCAGATGAACCGGAGAATGCGAAATGTTTGTGTGCCGTTACGAGACAATTGTTTCCACCACCACACGTTGCCTACTTACCGCACCTTTTTTTCTCATCAATCCCAAAAGTAAACCATCATGAGAGTCTAGATTTTGTAGGTGTGGAAGGGGGCAAAAGGATGGTGGCTATTTGAGTGAAATATGGATGCCTCCTTGTCAACACAATTTAGGTTATGAGGAAAGGTCGGAAGCTACGCATGGGCTACAGTCCTAGAAACTAGGGGAAAGATTACTGCGAGAATACGCTGTCAAAGACACGAGAAAGTAAATTCTTGTCAAATGTATCATATCCAAAGGTAGTGCAAATGCGGATGTGCAAGCTGCGAGAGCACACTTGTAAATGATATCTCACCGTAATCTAGATGGCTTGGGGCCGAATATCGCCACCGCTAGCAGGGAGGAGTCGGACCCGCTTCGGCCATACCCTTCTGACCATCTGAATCTTGCGAGTGAACAGTTGAGAAAGTAGTGGAGAATTGGAAACCGTTGCTGAATAGTGGCTGAACTGTGATTGGACTGTGGCTGTGTCTAGCATTGGGCCAACTGCGTCAACCAGGTATTTTCTGACTCAGCCTTCGTTGGCTTAATGAGTTGCCGCGGATGCCTCCATTTTCTGAGGTAAAACTCGCAAGGGAGAGCGACCTCTCAGCCAACAGGGATGGTTTACGGGGAAAGCATTGCGGCTTATCAAACCTGAAACACAAGCGACAAACGCCGCAATCTTTCATGACGAAAGGACGGTCCAAGCCTTTTGTTTGTCCTGTTTGCTTAAACGAAACGGACGCAGTGGTTGGCCGATGAAGATCTGCGGCCAGGCGGGCGATCAGGGCGCAGGTTGTGCCTAGATTGGGTACGGTTGCACCCCGAAGGGGGGCGGCTCAGCTCTCCATTTTACCAGCTGCTGACCAGCACAGCAATGCGTTGTCCAGCCTCTTTGTCTGCTCTTCTCTTCATCCTCGACGCTCTCTTGAGGTAGAAGTCTTGCGGTCTATCTCAAGGCGTCGCCATGTTATCCTCGGTCGCGTTCTCGGTTCTGGCGCTCTTGGTGTTCGCGTGTGGCGTCTCAGCGACGGGCTTCGACTGGCTTGACACCCTCCCCGACTGCTGGCAGGAATGCCTCAGTGAAACGGGCAGCGGGTGCGACTCGGCGACATGTAAGTGCGCCCGGTTTCTTCGCGTCTCCATGCTCGCCTGGCGCGTGCTGATTATTTCCTCGCGAGGTAGGCATTTGTAAAGCTAGTAATCTCGATGGTTATCTGCCTGACGCTGTGTCTTGCGCCCGCACAACCTGCGATGCCAACGACTGGACCATCGATCCCTTCCTGGTAACCCTCCAGGCATACTGCGGCTTCGTCGGAAACGATATTCCAGAGTCCATCATCAGCTCTGCCCAATGCGCCGCGACCGAAACCTCCAAGGCGGCGAAGCCTACCTCCACTCGCCAAGCGCAACACTCGCAAAAGTCCCAGGCCCACAGGACAAAGTCCAACGGAGGGGATGAGGTGCTCACAAGTATCTACACGACCACCATTACGCAGACAACGACGGACTCGGACGGTGCGACACTGCAAATCATCATCCCGGTCGTCATGGGCCCAAGCACCGTGAGCTACGGCTCGACTATTACATCGACATTGGATGGGAAGGCCAGCGCTACAGACTCTGCAAGCTCCGATGCCGCATCTCCGAGCCCGACTGCTGCGACATCCGCACCGGTGTCAACTCCAACGGGGCAAGGCCAGGTCGGTTCTTCGACTACAAGCTCAAAAAAAGCGGAGAAGACTTCTAGCAACAACAACAACGGGAGCCCGTTCGAGAACATGCAAGCCGGCGCAAGCCGATGGAAATTCTCTGGGGGTCTAGTAGGCGTGGGAGTCCTCGCTGGCTTGTTCATGAGGCTCTAAATTTATTTTCGAGTGTTTTCTTTGTACGATACCAAGCATTAACGGCCTCGGACCTTGTGCTGCTACTACCTCTTCCTCATCTTCCAGCCAGCGTTCACTGTATTATTTGCATTCAGGGCATATCTCGGGAATATCATGAGCATAGCGCTTTAACACAAATGTAATTGGAATGAACACATAGTTACTTCTCCAACCATACGTAATTCCTTAGTTCGTGTAGACATTCGGGGAATGGACCGAGTGTCAGGATGCCAAGTATCAATCTCAAGCGTCCGGAACCAAGAGCACAGCAACGTGAGTTGGCCTTTGGAAGTCCTCCAATCACATGCGGGACGACTAGATTAGCACGGCCCGTTCAAAGTCCGGCGATTGGTGTTGTCTCACATTCAGACGTGCGAACTTCGCAACCGTTGCCGTAAAGCATCACGACACAAAGAACCGACAAAAGGCGAGCGAGATCCTTCGTGACAGTAGCGTTTCGCTATTCAACTTTCTCGGCCGATGGAGCGGATGCGGACCCGACCTCTCTCGACAACCTAACTTGATTTAGGTCTCCTACCTTCGCCGAGGCGTCTTCCAAGCAGCATCAAACACCATAATACTAGTGCCATCACCTCTCGGAATCACCAATACGGCTGAACCTCTTTTTCGCGAGCATTGGACTTGTCTATTTTACATGATTATAGCGTAGATCACCAATTCCGTGCAAATATATTAACCACACGAGGTTAACCTAATTCCCTCGCTCTTTCCCACTTCTCCTGTTTTCACGTCTCTCCTGTCGTAATATTTTGCGTCATGGAGCCAGAACCCATTCCAGGTCCCCCTGGGCTTCCCTTTGTGGGAAATGTATCAGATATTGATCCAGAAAATCCGCTGCAATCTTTGATGAACTTGTCTGATATCTACGGTTCGTTGGATTCTCATCCTTAGCCTCGTCATTGCGGTACACTTCTCGCACCGCATGCGCAATTTGCGGTCCAGACGAGGCTGACAATTTATAGGCTCTATCTGGAAATTCCAACTTGGAGGCGCTGCTCGGGTCGTGGTTGCATCTCAGGCATTGATGAACGAAATCACCGATGAAACCAGATTCTCCAAGATTGTTTCGGCATCTCTCAAGGAAGTACGAAATGGAGCCCATGGTATGTATTCAATTCCAGTTTTGGTAGCAGTGAGGGCTAAATATAGACTATAGACGGATTATTCACTGCATATGGGACTGAGGAGAAGGATTGGGGTAAGCCACTGCTCCACAATTCTGTCGCGCAACGCTCATCTTCATAGGGATTGCCCATCGAATTCTCCTGCCGGTATTTGGACCGCTCACCATTAGAGCTATGTTTGATGAAATGCATGTATGCCACCACGCTGGGACAGATCTAGGCTTCGGATCTGTTCGTCTTCGAGTCACTTGTGGGTGCTGACCCAAATAGGACATTGCCTCTCAGCTGGTCATGAAATGGTAACACCTCCGGCTTCTCTTATAAGAATCCTACTTACAGAGTTCCTAGGGCTCGACATGGGCCTGATCATATCATCCAAGTGACTGACGATTTCACGAGACTGACGCTAGATACAATAGCACTCTGTGCGATGGATTATCGATTCAACTCTTACTACTCTGAAGAGGTCCACCCATTCATCCAAGCAATGGCTGACTTTCTGAAAGCCTCAGGAGACCGAGCAAGACGAGGTGCAATTGCACAAATGTTTTACCGACAGGAGTCCCAGAAGTACTGGGAGAACATCGAACTGCTCCGAAAGACTAGTCAGGAGGTCATCAAAACGAGAAAAGAACATCCGTCTGATAAAAGAGATTTGTTAGTGTCATCGAATTACTGTTAGTTCTCTCGCTTACTTCTTCAAGGCTTAACGCGATGCTAAATGGCGTCGACCCGAAAACCGGCGAGAAGATGACCGATGATAGCGTGATCGACAATATGATCACGTTCTTGATCGCCGGTCACGAAACCACATCCGGACTCTTGTCGTTCGTATTCTACTACCTTTTGAAGAATCCGAGTGCGTATGATACAGTGCAGCAGGAGGTAGATGAAGTTATTGGGAAGAACCCGATCACGGTTGAGCATCTCTCGAAGCTCCCATACCTGAACGCTGTGCTTCGGGAAACTCTTCGACTTTCGCCCACTGCACCATCTATTGGGCTTCAGGCGAAAGAGGATACCACCATCGCTGGTAAATACCATGTGAGCAAGGGTACCCCTATTATCGCTCTGTTCTCGAAGATCCATCGCGATCCTGTTGTTTATGGTGAAGATAATGAAGAGTTCCGCCCCGAGAGGATGCTGGATGCCGAGTTTGACCGTCTCAACAAGGAGTTTCCTAACTGTTGGAAGCCGTTCGGTAATGGAATGAGAGCGTGTATCGGGCGGCCATTTGCATGGCAAGAGGCTCTTCTGGTCACAGCCATGCTTCTTCAGAACTTCAACTTCACCATGGAAGATCCATCCTACCAGCTGCAGGTCAAACAAACGCTCACCATCAAGCCGAAAGGGTTTTACATGCGTGCACATTTACGAAATCACATGTCAGCAACAACGCTTGAGCGAGCTTTAGCATCAACGTCAATCAGTGAGGCAGCCTTAGCAAAGACTGAGCCACAGGAGCTATCAAAGAAAAGCACCATAAAAGGGAAGTCCATGGTAATATACTATGGGTCAAATACTGGAACATGTGAGGCGCTTGCTCAAAGGCTTGCCGCCGATGCCTCTGACCATGGCTTCAAGGCGGATATTGTCGATACGCTGGACTCGGCCAAAGAAACCCTCCCAACAGACAGGCCGGTCGCAATTGTTACAGCCTCCTATGAGGGGCAGCCGGCAGATAATGCTGCGCATTTCGTGAACTGGCTCGGCGGGTTGAAAGGGTCTGAATTGGCCAACGTTTGTTTCGCCGTCTTTGGCTGTGGTCACCGGGATTGGGCGAAAACGTTCCATAGAATTCCGAAATACCTCAACAACGTTATGGAGAAGAGGGGCGGCACAAGAATTGCACCGCTAGGGACGGCTGACGCGGCAGGTGGCGACATTTTTACCGAGTTTGAGAACTGGGAAGACCAAGTGTTCTGGCCTGCTATGCGGGAGAAATATCGATCTTTGGATACCCCAGGAGCTTCGGCCTACGAAACGAACCTACAGGTTGAGATCTCCACCCCTCGGTCTTCTAACTTGCGCCAGGACGTACGAGAAGCTCGAGTCGAGGAGGTAACAGTCCTATCGGCACCTGGAGTCCCGGAAAAGAGACACATAGAAATCAGCCTACCAACGGACATGACCTATTCCGCAGGAGACTACCTTGCAATCTTGCCTATCAATCCGAAGCAAAGTGTGAGCCGGGCCATGAGGTATTTCGGGCTGGCATGGGATAGCATGTTGACCATTTCATCTGCTGGCCCGACTACGCTTCCCACAAATGCTCCGATATCCGCAAGCGATGTATTTGGGGCGTATGTCGAGCTCGGTCAGCCTGCCAGCAAACGCAACATCCTCGCTTTGATAGAGGCTACTCAAGATGAAGGAAGTACGAAAGACCTTGCTCGATTGGCGGACGTCGACTTCGCAACTGAGATTACGGCAAAACGTGTCTCGGTTCTTGACCTTCTTGAACGCTTTCCGTCTGTCCATCTACCGCTAGGACCTTTCTTGAAGATGCTGCCTCCCATGCGAGTGCGTCAGTACTCGATATCATCTTCACCGCTGTGGAATCCAAGCAATGTCACCCTTACGTACTCCGTCGTAGATCAACCAGCTCTGAGTGGACATGGACGCTTCGTCGGGGTAGCATCAAGCTATCTTTCAAGCCTCGCGCCAGGGGACAAACTCCATGTTGCTGTTCGAACCTCTCATCAAGCCTTCCACCTGCCGAAGGACACTAGGAACGTTCCCGTCATCATGATGGCAGCTGGAACAGGTACATATATTTCCCCTAACTGATTTACACTTTACTTTAACTCACGACCGTTATTTAGGTCTCGCTCCTTTCCGGGGCTTCATCCAAGAGCGCGCCGCGCAACTCGCCGCAGGCCGATCTCTCGCGCCAGCACTTCTCTTCTACGGCTGCCACTCTCCTGACACTGACGCACTTTACTCAGAGCTCCTCAGCCGTTGGGAGAATCTCGGCGCGGTCTCTGTCCGTTATTCTTACTCCCGTACCCCAGAGAAGTCCGAGGGATGCAGGTACGTGCAAGATAGACTGTATCATGACCGCAAGGAGGTGGTAGAGCTGTTTGAAGCAGGCGCGAAAGTGTTTGTTTGTGGGGGTAGGGAAGTAGGTGAAGGGGTACAGGAGACTTGTATTAGAATTACGAGAGAGAGGAGTATGGAGGTGCAGGGACGGGATGTTTCGGAGGAAAAGGCAAGGGAGTGGTTTGAGGGGTTGAGGAATGAAAGGTTTGCTACGGATGTTTTTGCGTAGACTGGATTGGAGAGTTTAGGATAGATGTTGGGAGTGGATGGGTATGGTGACTTAAGGGCTGTGCCCGGTAGCCAGATGCTGAAGCTGTGTGTAGTTGCGAAGCGAGGTCTATTTTGCAATCTCGATATCCGGAGCCAGTGTGTGACGACAAATTACCTCTCCTTCTGATCTCAAATATCTGTTCCTAAACGTGTAAAATCGTCTGCGATATTTTCTTTCACAAATTGCTCAAATGTAGAGAATATGTGTCTACACCACTTGTGTCTACACCACTTCAGGCAGCGTGGCCAACAGTCCGTACTATGACGGATACTTTTCGCTCCGCTGTGATCATGTGAGTCGTACAAAAGTAGTAACTTTGTGAGCTCCCCTACGGCTAGCGAGGCTAAGAAGTGGACCCGTAGTACGGTTAAGAAAGGCTTTTTAGAGTGACAATTGCCTATTTTTTACGCGTCTAGGAGGAGGATTTCTGAGTTACAAGTTAGACGTGCTTCTGCTGTACAACAAGCAGAGATTTCTGTATCACTTTCCTTGATAGCAGTATAGCAAATTGTGTGCCGTATTACCTGCATTAATATCTATCACTATAAGCGTGTCACATTTCTTCCACCTTGGCTGCTTAAGACGTACCCCTTGGCTAGTTCTTCAAGCTTGTTTATATCCCATCACGCTATAATCCATGTTATCTTCATTTGTGTTGGTTTAAGATACTCCATAATTTCTTCTTAATCCCTAGTACTAGCTGCAAGTGCGAGAGGGCCTGCAGTAGAGGCGGAAAGACTGTTATTTTTAATAGGAATTTGCTTACTAAATGAGATGATCTAGTTGTAGAGGAATTAACTCTGTTTGCTAAGTCGTCTAACATGAGTTTAATAAACCTATAGAGTGCATTGAGTGAGCCCTATCTTAAAGTACTACATGTGCTACGCTGTAGCTCTTGGCAAAAGTAGCAACTGTAAGGGTGAACTAAACCACTACTATTACGTACTGTATGACCCCATCCCTTCCTCCTTAACAAAGTGAGAAGTAGAGAGGTATTTTATGCCAACTGTAGCGTAGTACAAACTGTTGGCCACATTGACTTCGGGGACCCATTCCCCACGATTCTAGAAGAAGAATTACAACAAACGCACACATTCCGCCCACTCTCTAAGGCTAACAGCCTTACGTTGTCGGAGATACATAATGAACAGCTCTTCTAAGCTTTAAACAAAGCTGTTAACTTCTCCCAAATAAATAGAAGGATGCTGTGGTTAAGAGTGACAATTCATTATTGCAAACCCTAAGAGCTATCACATCTGGCGTATTTTACTTGGGCATGGTGCTGACCTCTAGAGTCTGAAACCGCAATACAAATGGCCTAAAACAGTTGCAAACCTTTCTTAATCAAGTCCTCGCCCAAATTTTGCGACATTTTATATTCCTTAATTCGTCAAACTACGAATAATAGGGGAATATGGCTCCCTTCACTATCTAGCGTAGTCCAGTGGTGGGCCTGTTAGAGGTGCTATCAGTAAAGCACCATTTCCATACAAACTTTTGATGCTGAAAGAAGACCTATCCTTCATCTCCTCTCACAGGAAGGCAATACATCCAGCGTACCGGTCTGATCCTGAACAAAGAGGCCAACATTGAGTTCCGTGATTGATGGGGTCGAAAAGAAACAATCGCCAGACGTAATTTAAGCATGTATTTGCATGAGGCAAGTCTGCGAGTGGGCGTTGAAAAGATATGCATTGTGTTATGCTACAAAAAAACCTGCTGGCTCCTGAAAGTTTTTTGAGCCTATGAATTATGGTCCAATTCCAGATATCCGCCCTTTTGCGCGGCTGACAGCCACTTGTCTCCACGGGATATTTGTCTCAGGTTAATTGAGCGTCGGCATCAGCTTCGCTAGCCTTCTGGGGTGTTTCGGATCTGACCGCCCTCCTCTCTTGGAGCGTTCCTTCGCCAAATGCACATGAGCAAGAAGGTGGACGCATTCTTGGCTTTTTATCAACGCTGTGGAAGTCCTTCGTACTTCATTCCTGCGGTTAGTCTATCGTATTAGATAGTGGGAAAGGGTTTTACACTGACAGGTTCAGCCCAGTCCAGTCATGATCCTGCCCCAAAGAGTACTTTTCAGGCTCCTACCACTGAGCTTTGAAAGCCTTTATCTTTATCCAAAAGTTCCACATCGCGAGCTTAACAACGAAGAATATGTGAAGTATGATACTCCGGAGTTAAATGATACTATTCAACTTTTCGCTCCCATCCAGATTCATCTTTCGAAGTTCATCAGCATCGTATTGAACAAGATACCATAGCTTCTTCCTAGGCCTGGAAGCTTTACTCCATAATATCCCAGGAGTTTCGAGAGTGAACTTAGCGACGAGAGCTAAGACGGCCGCAACCAGTCAAGGTCCCCAGGACCCAACAGCGTCGGAGCGCTCGCTGTAAGAAATTGTACCGAGGAAGAGTTTGAAGATGAAGAGGCAGAATAGAAATGGGGAGCCTGTAAGGCCGATGAGGTAGTAGAGTTCAGCGAGCACTTTTGGAATGGAGCGGCGTGTGTAGTGGTATCGCGTGTTTGTAGAGGATGCAGTTTGAAGACTAAGATATTGGAGAATTGAGTCTTTCCACAACAGGTCTTTGAAGAGAAGCCGGATTCTACTCTTCGTCCTGCATTTGCGGTAACGAAGATCCTGTTTCGTGCGGATTCAGGGCTCTAGTTCATAGTGGTCAATTTAGCAATCCCTACACCAGAGCGGCGACCCAGAGGCCGAATACAACCTCCTAAAGGTTGACCACACCCGTTTTTGGGTGGAAGTATTAGAGATATCCAGATGTAGTTTGTTCCTTGACACTTCTAGTGGCATAATGCCACCGATTACACGGGGTCAACGTACCAGGTTCTGCCCCAGCCGAGCACGCGAATGCACACTGGGAGTATCCCAATCCTTCGATCATGATGATGATCCGAAGCTTTCCTTTCCCGTCAAACTATTAGTGGATCCCTCGAATACGGTAAAACCGTTGAAAAGGAATCTCTTGTGTTACCAAGTAGCGTGAAATTTGTCGCACGTGACATGGCACATCCATGAGGTCACACTAGTCATTCATGAGGGCTAGCACCAATGTACGCTATATCTGGAGCCACCTCGAGCTCCTTAAGCCCTAAACTATCATTTCATACGTATCGTTTGCTACCCACTACTTAGCTAAGCTTACCCGCTCTATCCTAGACCCCGCGATCTGCTCTTAGTGGCATAATTTGCAACCAGTTAATTGCTGCCCCGCTTCCTCTAATTGAGCTGGTATTATGGACGACTATGACAGCGGCACGGATCAACTCTGATAGCGGCACGGATCGACCTCAAGATGAGGTCATCATCAAAGTGAGCAGTCGCCGGGCAAATCATACATTGGAGCGGCTATTCTTAACAGCAACAAGCCACTCAAGGCAGACTCGTGGCACGGGGAAGTTTAAGACAGCTACGTTGTGTACTATCCGGCTTAGGAACCTGCGAATTCTTCTTAAGATGTTTATAAAGAACAGAAGAAACTTGTTGGCTTATCATTTCTATGCCTTCATTCAAACCACTTTCTACGCGGTCTGTCTCTTAGATACAACACGTATCCATTTTATCCACCATTTCTAAATACGCAACAATCTTTCTGGTCTCCCTTATTGCCCAAGCACTATGCGTTCCGTTGAGCACTCTAGTGAAGCGCAACCCTTGCGATGGTGTTAACGTAGAGCCTATTCTTTATCACGAGTACCTAAATGACGCTTGTCCACCTGCATTTCGTATGGACGAATCTGCCAATTGTCCAATGACCAAATGGGTATCTTGGAACAAACTATTGACCTGTTCGAACTACTGCCAAGTGCGAACGAATTTCTTCTTTGGGCAGGAGAAAATATTTCTTTCCCATCCTTACTGCCACGGACCAATGACCTACACTATAACCGATACTACGCCTGTTGTGCTTGCTATTAACGTGGCTTTGCCTGTCTCTGGAAATTTTACAGATGCATTCACTGCTGGGATCAGTGCAGGAGTGGCATACACCAAAACCTGGGCTCATGCAGAAGCCAAAGAAGTCAAACTGGAAGCCAATGAGTGTGGCTACTTTGCTTTCCTCCCCATTCTTAAAGAATCGTGGTGATCTTCTTTCCTTCCCCTCTGCTGACGCCAGGTCTTGTTGTGACAACGGGATCTGAGGATGATGCTAGATCTTAGGCTTATACACTTCTAGTGGAACTTTCACCAACGGCGAGTATAAAGATGTTTGCCCAGGGCACCCTGAAGGTGGGTGTGTGAATTCACATAGTGTGGGAAATCAGTGTGCTAGGATGCCTAGGGTTGCTCCTGGTACAAAAAATGATCGTGCTGGCGTTACTATATTAGTTCGCGTCGATTGCTCCACGCATGCTCCTCTGCCACCGGATTTCCAGGATCCTGCATACAATCACGATGGCGTTCCGCTAGATAGGGGCGTTTACGATGCCTTCGCTGCCACATTTGAAGATCCGCTACGCATACAAGGATCAATATCAGAAGACATCAAATGCTAACTCCGAGGATCTAGATGCCCCCGGTATTCAGGACTGTACGGATGCTATGTTCACACCAATGAACAACCCTGGAATGGGTTCTCTCATTGGAAAGAAGGATGAACTGTGGTGGCCTGGTGTAAGTAGATGGTAACAATGGCTGGCTCTAGTTCTAGACTAGTACTGGGTAGTACGTTCCATCCTGTGCTCTACAAATCGAGTATCCCCAAGGCTGGGCGGACGATTGTCTCGTCACCGAGGCAGAAGTTGCCCGATCAGCAGTAGGAATCTTTGATAAGTGCCAGAATGAGGGTACTGGAAAAGTAGGAGGCTCAATGACTCTTCGAAATGATGCACAATGCAACTCAAGACTAAGGATTGCTCCAACCAACGGTAAGGCACTACCGCAAGGTCAACCTTAGGCGCGTGGCTTACGGCACCTTTGGTTCGTAAGTTCACTTTATTATAAGCCTCTAGCACAAGGTTTTCTGTTGTTGCGCAAGCATGTTTTTTATTAGCGTGGAGTTACCCTAGAGCTAGATATCTAATATATAGTTTATCTATAGCGAAAATGTTTTCTAGGTCTTCTCTGCAGGGTTAGTAAGCTATGTATGTATTCTAGTCAACCGCGAATGAATCACCTTAGAAATTTGAGGCTTGTGCCTTGACTAATTTTTCCAAGGTCTTCTTTTTTACGTATCCTATGAACCATTCCACTCTTTGCATCGCCTTGCCAAATATGAGTCTCAATGATAACCACGACCAGGTATCCTTGCTCCAAAACTACATAAGATTCACTCCTCCGCTAACGAGCACAAACGTAACGGTGGTATAAGAATAATGAATTAGGAAATTGTACGAAATTAGGGACAGGACAGAATGTTGAGCTAAGGAATAGTATGGGCTAGTAATGCTACGTAATCTAAGCTCTAAAATAGTATGTACTAGGTACAAGTTCGTGAGTAGTACAGAAAACAATTTTATAGAACGAGCCAGCGTGGCCAACAGTACGTAGTACGTTACGTTTGAGCTTTTTTCTGCTAGTAACTTCTCAATTTAGTAGTACATTTGTACGTAAGCAGTAAATTAATTAGCAAGTGTGTAACATAACAGTAACTTCTTAAAATCCTTATACTTTTGTACTTTTCGCAAGAAGTTTTGTTAGTCTAGGTTAAAATTATTCTAGGAGAAGCTTTTTAGCCTAGATAAAGTCCCCTTCTCCTCCTTATTGCCCTCTGTCTCTAGCTTGTTGGGACAACTCTAATAAGCAGAAGGATTAGGATAAGGCTGTACACCTGCTGCAATAGAGAAATTAAGACATCTAGCTTATTATAATAATTAATAAGATAGGCAATAAGTTAGCAAATAGGCAGGTATAAGATAAGGAGCTTTTCTAGGGCAAAAGTTAACTATTTTTATAATTGTTACTCTAAAACGCAACCTTAAACAAAGCTCTTAACGCGATGGCTAATAGGGTCTAAAAACAGGAGGGAAATCTCCTAAAATATAACCTCTCTAACCCGTACTATAGGACGTACTTAGCAATTCACTGTACAAAAGTTACGTCTCACATTTTAACTACTTTTGTACTCCTCACGTGATTACTACGTTCACGTAGTTACGTTACGTACTACGGACTGTTGGCCACGCTGGAACGAGCTATGGAAGAGTGCACAGTAGATAATAGTGCGTAAATAGCGAGCTCTAGAGTAATTCATGGTAGCGGGTAGAAGGGTAATAGTAAAGCTAGGTAATAGTGCTATCTGGAAGTAGTTTTGTGATAAATGGTCCGTGAAGTGAGTCCTGAGTAGACTGCTATCTCCTTCCTCTGATACTCCGATTTGCAACAGGACCTCGAAACAGCCTTAATGAGCTCAACTAGGCTCCGCAATAAATAGAACATCCTTCCCCGACACGTAATGTTACCCAAACAGCATCTCTCCCGCAAAGTGTTTTGCAACGCTTTGCCTACAGCTATCTCGCTGACGCACTTATTCTAGTCGATTGCCTACTTGCCTCGTCAAGCATGATGTACGAGCCATCGCTAGCCGAAATTCAACCTAAATTTGTTACTGATGCTCGAGGCTTATCGTCTGATGCGTCCCGGTGCCATTACTAGCCCAAAATTACCAAAGCATCCATCCCACCAAGCTCATGAATGCTTCGTCTGTGTCTTCATCCGGCGCTTCCCTGCCTTGGATTCTACCTCTTTCGACTTTGGCCTCCCTCCTCAATCGTTCAACCTCACTAGGATTGTCAAGGCGGTCCTCTACTGATGCTAAAAACCATAGCGCTCTTGCCAAGTGGCCTCTCATCTCCACCATATCGCGGCTCATGTCAATAATCTCCCTAAACATCCTAGCACTCACGAGCAATTCACTCTCGGCTACAAGCATCTGTGCGACAATGAAAATCGAGTCTGCGACGTGAGGGCCTTTGGCACCGAAGATGCCTCGGCGAATAGTGATAGATTTTGAAGCCAACCGTTGCCCTTCTTCCTTGCGTCCAAGCGCGTATTGTATTCTGGCCAATAGCACAATGTCCCCAGCATGCTTGGGGTATTGAGAGATTGAGATTTCCTCCTCGGTCTTGTTCTGCAGCTTCCAGCAGAGGTTAAGGGCTTCGAGCGCCTTTTCGGGTTGGTTGCCTCGAAGGTAAGCAAGTGAGTATATGGCCTGCGTCCGGGCTGACGTCTCGTTGAATTGAACGAAGTTGATAGCATCCGCCTTTGCGAGGTACTCCAGCGCTAGCGTAACATCTCCAATCTCAGAGTAGCTGCACGCAATCGAATCGTAAACTTCGGCTATAGCGGGCGAATCTGGTTCCTCGATTTTCTCTCTAACCACTAACGCTTTTTGGTATGCAGAGAGAGCCGCTCGTGGTTGGGCTACATCAAGGTTGATGTGTCCTAATATCCGGTATGCCTGCGCACATATCCGACTATTAGGGTCTAAGTCCAGTGTCAGGCTGTACTCAAAGAAGGACTTTGCTGTGGTCGGTTGTTCGTTCTCCCAAAGATAGCTAGGATCAAAATAGTCAGTTCACAGCTTGACATATTTAAAGAGTCGCAGAATCTGCTTACGTCCCAATACGGAAGATCAGCTCAGCAAAAACCTCAGTATTTGTAGCCTTCATATTATACTGATTTTGTAGACTCATCAAGGAAGACAGGTGGGGTACAATGGCGCTGCAAGTCTCCCATGAACGCCAACCATGACCTTGCTGAGGGCCTCGCTGATCCCATGTGTTAGGGAATGCGTGGTAGAGCAGTTGAATTGCGTTGTCTAGGTACAAAGTCTGTTCATCTTCCGGCACTCTAATAAGCATCGCAAACTTAACCAAGCGATGCATGGATATGGACTTGGATGTGGTTAGCCGACATATTAGGGATGTCTTAGTAATCAGCTCGGACACCACTTCACCGAAACTAGGCTTTGTGTTAGGAATGTGCAGAGGATCTAGGGTCTCTACTGACTCGAAATCGTCGCTTAGGAATTTTAGACGAGACTCTAAATTCTCGGCTCTAGTTCCTATCAACAGCCGTTCAGGAATCATGTCCGGGTCGAAGAGCGAAAGGAATTCCAGCAGAACCCTAGCGTTTTGTGATAATGATTGAAACGATAAGTCCCATACGGTATTCAATGTATGCTCGTAGTCGATTTGAGATTGATCCTTGACGAATATTCTCTCAGTGTGCTTTTTATATAAAGCAAGGAATTCTTCATAGGTATATCCACGGTCTTGGATGAGGGAACTCATGTGAGCCATGGCAAGCGGAAGGCCTCCAATAAGCTCACATATTTCCTTTGCAGCTTTTGCATCCGCTTCATCAGCCGGCTGAAGGCCTGTTAAGTCGTACAGGATACCCGTAGCCATATCGTCATCGAAGGACTTGAGTTGCATAATCTTCTTGGCACGTCTGGCCGCGACTGCTAGGGAGCGGCTGGTGATGATAATGGATCCTTTGTTACTAGCCGGCCATATCTGGCTTAGGATCCGGGAATCTTCTACATTATCAAAGACTAGAAGAAATGCCTTCCCTGAGTTATTCAGCCAGTCCCTGACCTTTTGGACAGATTGGTAATCGTCCTCTCCGCCTTCCTTCTTTAGCAAGCCGAGCTTCGACGCAAAGGTGGACAGACTTTGGACAAGCTTAGTCTGGGTGTCAGCTTGAATCCATGCAATAGCCTGGAATGTTTCTCTGGAAGTGTTAGCGTAATTAAGAGCAAGCTGAGTCTTGCCGATCCCGCCGATGCCGCATATTGCCGCCACTTTCAGGTTGTCGCCGTCACTTCTTGGATCTAAAAAGTTCTTTAGTTCCTCTTCTTCTGCCGACCTGCCGTAAAATTTCAGGCTCAATCCGTACGGTATGATGTGGCATGGTTTTCCACTGTCTGATATCATTAACTTTTGTAGACTGTTTATTACTTCCACCGTTTCGGCCGTATGGATCTCGTTGGGCAATCGCATCATGTCGGCTATTTCGCCGACTTTCCTTGAATAAAGCTGAAGGTTGGACATGGACTCATTGAACCTTGTGCTGAACATCGACCATGCCGTACGACTAGTGGTAGCATTTGGATTGCTACGAAAGAAAGTGATTGCGTATGCGTAGAAGATGGTTATTTCGGTGTACATGTTCAATAGAGCTACTTCAAGGGACTCTGACAATGGGAGCTCTTGTTGAACTTTAGGGAGAACATTGCCTAGCTGTTCCATCGGGGTGACTAATTGCGGGAAGACTGGACGTGTAAACTATTTTATTTAGTAAGCAACTCCCTGTAAATGGTGGCGAAAGGGTATATCACCTTGAGCAAGAGTCTTGAGAGCCCCACAAGAGAGATGCAAAACGACCGTTCAGCCCCAGTGACCAGGCGATAACAACTGCAAAATCATTGATGCCAAGCAATACAGGGACAGGCTCTCACTTCGGTAACGTGTTTCATATGCGAGCGCCGCACCCAAGCGAGCGCCGCAGCATCCCTACTAAAACGCCTGCGCAACAACAACATAAAATGCCACAACAGCACAAAGCTTAGAGAGCCTATACTAAAGAAGATGTATAGGTTACTATTTTTAATATTAAAAATAAAAAATCTAGAGCTTCTAACATGCCAAGGCAATCTACAAGGTCTTTAATGTATAATAATATAATATTAATATAATAGTAGTTATCTAGACCTTGGAGATTTGCAATTCCTGGAATGGCAACTCCTAGATTTCATCTATGAGAGCATTCGGCTATCTATCTCCCGCTGCCCCTTTCTAGTTTGGAGTCCTTGCCAGGCCTCTTTCTTCAAGTTGCCTGTGGTACTTGTCAATGGTTGTTCGCCATATCAGATGGACCGGTTCGTTGGCCTCTATAACTAAAGGCGACGTTTTTGACTTGAGGGAGCAGATAAAGTGTAGGGAGAACTAAATGAATTTTCCAGCGTCTTCCCTTGTCAGAATGCCAACGTCGAGTATTTTGTTTTCTTTCTGCGGCGCGGACGTGAAACGGGGTTGTCCGGAGACCGGTGAGCTGTGCCACTCTATGCAACGCTGTCATATGATAATCATTCAATCTTGTCCGTGGTGTGTGAAGCGAGTACTTGATTCATAAAAAAGAGCGGTGAGGACATTATCGTTTGCTTTCCACAAGTCCGGTGTCCTTAAAATCATAGCATTAGCCAGACAAAACGCCTTAACAACTAAGCCGATGGACAAGACAGGTATACAATTCGTGTGTGCTCAGAAGCCAGGCATGGATGATGGGACGTGGGGATTGGATGGGGTTGCTGGAGTGAAGCTGGTCACTGCACGGGCACGGGGCTCACGCAAACGCCCGCGCGTAGTCCTCTTTCTAATTGGTCGAGAACAAGCACAGTCCCTTGGGTTTTTCGGCCACAGTCGTACGAGTGGAAACAACCACCACCCGTTCGCCCCAAAATGTATCACACGTAGGTAAAGCTTGCGTTAAAGGTAATAGCCAAGAAAATTCGTGGTGCTTCAGCCCCGCGAGATAGTGGGTAAGTGCGCCGGCAGACCAGGACCAGGCTACCGCTTAGGTGCTGTTTGTGTTGCATCATCAATCTTCAACTGGGAACACCAACTGAAATCTCAACCTTCTACCGCAGGTACTATCGCTCCATAGCTAGCTGATCGAAACCAGACGTTCTCTCACTCACCACATCAATCCACATAGAGAAACAGCTGTCAAGTGCTGAAAACACCGCTGATCTTGTGTCCTTTCGTGCAACTACGTTTTGCGTTCTATGGCCGCAGTCCGATCCCGACGGAAGCTATCTACTACTCCTGGTAGCTTCAGAGTCCGCAAGAAGCGCAGCTGTGAGTCTTACAGGTCCACCTCCAATCAGACTCTTTTTTTAGCCATTATAACTAATAAATCCCAACCAGTCTTCTCGACGACTGCCTTGACTGCTGTAGCTCCGCAACCGACCAAAGCGAACGAGCTCTTCAAGGAGCCTCAGCCAGTGTCCGTGTTTTTACCAACCACGATCGACTTGGGCTGGTACCAGCCTTGGCTCCATGGACAACTCACAAATATATCGCATGCTGTTTTACAGCTGCAGGTAGGGAAGGAGACACTTCTCGAGGGCAACGCATTTGAAAAAGTGTTTGCCGCGGTGGCCCAGTTCGCCCGAGATAACGAAGGGATTAGCATCGACGACTTGATTGAAGACCTTCGCAGAACACAGGGCATGGAGGAGTCCCACGAGTGTCTCAAGGCCCAAAGATTACTCGTGTTCGCAATCTTGGGCTGGCAGTCCATGCTTTACAGACCTACGTTCAACACTTGCTCGCTCGAGGAGCTGGCAGTCCTCGAGTACGACAGTCAGTCGAACTCTGGACTAGTGTTTGACAAAACCAAAGTGTCAGTTGACCTAGCAGATCGGCCATTATTCGCCATCTTGAAGGGCTTCGGAAATTTGTTGCCTTCCCCACCTCCGAACATAACCCAAGTAGCCAGTGAGAATAGTAAATCGGCTGCAACTTGGTTACCCCTGGATCCTTCTGAAACAAACGCACACCTTCTCATGGCCTTACTCCACGTCAGAATTCGTTGGGTTGATTGTCTGGCGCTGCATCTCGACTATAATAAGTCCAGTAGGACCCTTTCACTTTTCAGCTACCCTTCATTCTGCGTCGCAATGCTTCAGTCCAAAGGTACTATATTTTCATTCGCAAGTACGGAGAAGAGATCGTTCGATCCACGCGCAAGTGAGGAAGATATCTCACAATTTATGCGGGAAGTGCTTCTGTCGTTTCGATTGCTCTTTGGACAGCATGGACCTTCGAGAAAGCTCTTTCCACATACATACAGGCCAGCAGATCCAAGTCAAAACCTAGACCAACTACTTCCGATTCTATGTATGAAAAAATCGGTACAGCAACCCTCAGTATCGCTGTCATTGCCAGCTGACCAGCCTGTGTATTTTGCGGCCCAACATTTCCCCGTCTTGTCCGAGAGGATCGAGCTTGTTGCGAAGGAACTCAAGAATTCTCGGCCCGCTTCTATGAGAGAGCTTCTGCACGACCGACGGGACAAGTTGCAGTATTGGACCTTTTGGCTCATTTCAATAATAGGGGGTATAAGCGTGCTTCTGAGTCTAATTCAAGTTATTTTGCAAGCAATACAGTTAGCAAGGGGTTAAACTGGTCTTGTTACCCTTCCTATAATTGCTGTGTTTTCATAGCTTTTCTCTGTTAGTCTCACCTCTTTGGAATTATCGCTTTGAATGGCTTTCAGATCTACTTAGAGCTATACTGGGCTAGCCACCGATACCCCTTGTTCCCTCTCATACTCATTCGATTTCTTTGTTTCCTAGCCACTGTCGCATAGCGCAATGATTCAACTCACCTTTTACACCTTTGATCTATTAAGATGCTTACACCTGATATCTATATAACATCTCTGCGGTTTTATCGAGGGTTCGAGTCTTGATCTCCAACCTGAGGTCTCATTATTCAGGAAGCAATTTTCAGGTTCATTCTCATTACATCAAATCAGCCACCAATGCAATCGCCTCCAATAAAACCATCAGTGTGATTTCTCCGATGCAACTGAACCGTAAAGCTCCAAATGAATTTCGGCATAACCAAATTTTGAAATCGCGAAAGAATGACGCTTGTTGCGCTTGGTCTCGTTATATCTAATGAAGTTCATTTTCAAGACTTGAATTAGTCAGCTAAAGAAGCTGTAACGTATTCTATCAGTAAGCTACACACATCAGGACGCTGCGCACCCCAAAACCCACCGAAAATGACAAAACCGTACCTCAAGATCTCAACAACAGCTTTTTTGCCTCTCTAGAGCATATTATATATATGTATATAGAAGAAATGGAAGCATTAATTCTTAAGATATCTGATTTTGACCTAATTTTAGCTTAATTTTTTTGGTCTTGAAATTTGATATCTTAACAACAACTTAGGGAAAGAACCTAAGACTCTAATTTATGTCTTAGAAGGGATATGTAAAAGCTAATTTTACATTATAATATCTTTCTGCCTAGCCGTTGTCGAGATCTTGAGGTGCGATTTTCGTGATTTTCGGTGGGTTTTGGGGTGCGCAGCTTACTGATAGAATACGTTAGTTAGTTAGCTTAACTAGTTAGCTACCCCGCTTTCTTAACGAGGGGTCACCCTCGCACACCAGGTAAAGCGGAATGGAAGTGTAACCTCTTATCCTCCGACATTGCTCGAGGGTCCCACTGTTATTCTTCTCACTCTCATTTGTTTTTTCTCGATCTCGAGTCCTGGAGCTTCGGGATACCACGAAATCCAAAATGGGCATCACTCATATCGTTTTGTTCCAATTTAAAGAATCTGCAAGTCCTGGGGAGATCAGTGAAGTACGTAACACTGAAGGCACCTCATATATATATATATATATATATATATCTGACAAGATAACAATATAAAGGTTTCTCAGCGTATGCTTGCTTTGAAGGAGAGTTGTATCCATCCTACAACTCAAAAACCGTACATCATGTCCGCATCTGGCGGGACGGATAACTCATCCGAGGGAATTCAGGTGCAATAGTTCTTTTATTTGAATGATTTTATTAAAGACATGCATCTTGAGTGTGCTGACTGCCGCTGTTTCCGTGGCGTAGAATGGCATAACCCACGCATTCATCGTCGAGTTCAAAACCGCTGAGGACAGAGATTACTACGTCTACAAAGATCCCACCCATGCAGAGTTCAAGGAGCTCGCTGGCCAATTTCTGGAGAAGGCACAGGTTATAGATTTTACAGACGGAGTGTTCATGCCATGATTGGATCTTGCGTTGGGGACTTGTTGGTTGGAGGTTGCTTCAGGATTACCGGGAGATCAGTGAACCAGAATAGACGGGAAGATTTTTCTATTCCTCTAAATACTACATGCTCTACCTGGAAATTACCATCATTGAAGCATGTTTTCATCCAGTCGTCCGTTGGTAAATTGCTGAAACTGAAACTAATCCAAAGCCCTTTTTGTGCTATCTTGTGGCTATCGGGCAGCATTTTATGTTCAAATGCCAGTTTTCAACCTTGAACTTTCCTTGCAGACCCGTAATCCGTATCTCGTTCATTTTTTCGACTGTATTCCATCGCCCCCGAAATGCTGGACAGGAAGTTAAAACTTAGAATATTGGGCGGGTGATAGACACACAGAACTTTATGTCATACAGTCCAAGATGGATCAGTGGGTGTATCTGTCACGCGCTATGACCTCCGGTTTGGTTTGCTGCTATATTGTCGCCGTACTGCCATAGAGGTTGGCATGTTGCTTACAGAATTCAGTGATACGCTGCACTCACCCCTATCTTTTAATACGATATTCCAGAGGTGGCGGATATTATGCTTCTACTTCTCGTGGTGGAAGCTTCCTTATATTCTATCCTTGCCGTATTTAGGAAAGAGGTGGGACGGTGTAGTCCCGCATGACAAGTTCGCCTAGTGCGTGTACTGTCGAACGTGATGATACCTCCATGCATTGCACTAATCACTTAGTGCCTCTAACATTGGATATCAGGAGCAGATTTTCTAGGTTTTTGAGCCTTTGGCAACAATGACCGCCTATATTGAAAAGGGAGTTATTCTATATGCAATAGTATTCATTTTTAATCATTTTGGTAACAGATAGTCTTGCATGAGACTGATACGATACCTACTCTGCTTTCTACTCTTTTCTTACTGTTATTACTTACAACTTATGTCTTTAAGATCCTTGTTATTTCAGCCTTCCATTAAGGTCAGCTAAGGGTCAGTGAGCATGTGACTTGGCCTGACCGATGAACATTCATAACGTCACCAGTCTTTATCAAATCGCACCAAACTCACTACATAAGAAACCTTAACATCGGTCAGCTTTAACCGTCATCTCCTATTCAAGCAAATTCAACTCTCGAATCCTCATCAGATCAGATCAACCAAACGTCGTCTACACCAAACCGACCAACCCATACCCCAACCTAATAAATCTAAGGCTTCATCGACCACTACATCCAACATGTCCCCGAATCAAGATTAGCTCCAAACCCAAACCTAAATAAGTCTCATCGCAGGCCACGCGCAATACGTCAAAGGTGCTGTTGAGGCCCGCGTGTATCCCAACCCTTCCAGCCCCAACCCAACCACCTACTAAAACTCCCATTACCCTGTGTCCATATCTCTCTCGCTACTATAGACCTCTTCCTATATCTACAAATACAACTCCCTGAATATCCCTCAACTCCATACACGCTCTCAACACCATACATATTCTTAAATCCTCCTTGCAAAACCATTCCCACCCAACTAACCGCTCTCCTTCCCTTAAAGGAAACAATAGGGCGGCTAACCTCATCCGAATCATGGAAATCTTCCGGCACCCAAGACAAACAAGATGCAGTTTCCACAATGCAAGAAGCCGGAAAAGAGCGTGATTGCGCAAGCCAAAGGGACCGAAAAGTAGAGGCGGCAGTTGAGAAAGTTGTGGGTTGTGAGGGGATGGAGAAGGAAGGGAGGAGAGCCGGAAATGAATAGATATACGAGGAACGGCGGGTAGAGGGTAAGGTGGGATCTAAGTTTAAATCGTGAGGGGTCGAGTTAGGAGGAGCTAGTTCTAGATAGATGCAGCGTGGCCAACAGTACGTAGTACGTTACGTTTGAGCTTTTTTCTGCCAGTAACTTCTTGATTTGGTAGTACTTTTGTACGTAAGCAGCGAATTAATTAGTAAGTACGTAACATAACAGTAACTTCTTAAAATCCTTATACTTTTGTACTTTTCACAAGAAGTTTTGTTAGTCTAGGTTAAAATTGTTCTAGAAGAAGCTTTTTAGCCTAGATAAAACGCCCTGCTGTTAGTATAGCTTAAATTAATTATCTAGAGCAGCTTAGGCTAGAGCTTTTTTAAAGGTAGAGACTCCCTAGCTGTATATAACTGCCTTAACAACAATTTAAATTATATAGCTAGCGCAGCAGATATAGTGTTTAGTGGTAAGAGGTAAATAAAGCTTCTTAGCTAAAGTTGCAATAGTCTCTGCTTAACATGTTGTTAGCAATATAGCAATAAAATTTAAACGCAATTTTATAGTCCTTAAGCACCTTAACAATCTCTAGCGCTTAATTCTCCCTAGTGTGGTCTCTGTATAGATTGTTAAAGCTAATAAGGAGGTCTCTGTGCTAGTATTTAGCATCTGTGTAGAGGATGTTAGTGTTGTAGTTTTATACTAAAAAAATAAGCCACTACCCCTAGGCAGGATAATGTCACGGTATCCTCCCCGGATCCCAGACATAACCGTATCGGACGCGTACCGGAGTATTATCGGTGCACGTCCGACACGAACACGACACGACACGGACATGAACTTAAGCACGAACCGCCTCAACACTAACTGAACCCGGAACAGGCTCGATTCATACCCGAAGCGCTTGGACTTCTGAGCTGAGTATTTAATTGCTAATTTCCTCCTGAACTTTCCTGTTCCTCACACAACGTCTTGTACCTACCATGATACCTCACGTAGTAATTGAACTAGACCTCCGCGAAGCTCTATAACCTTACTCGTGCATAATCGTGACATTACGTTGTGTCAAAACCCTAGCCA